CTGATTTTTAATATTTTTGCTTCAAAGTCATAACACTGCTCTCGAGTTGAATCTTAGATCACTAGAGTAGTAGAGGACTAGAGGTCATTATCAAGCCATCTACGATTCTTCCAATCGAGTTAACTCAATCGGATTGTATTAATAATATATTAAGGAACTTTTCTAAATAGAAAATGTAATAGAGAAAATTTCAGAAAAAAAAACTCTATAATCAAGATTTTGATCGTGTCGATGAAAAGATTAATTTAGGTAAAAGAATAAAGAGAAATAAACTAGTCGGTAATTACACTATTTCGATCGTCGTATGACTTAATTTACTGCGAACAAATGGTAGTAGGTAAGATTGGCGAGGAGATAAAAAATAGATGTGAATGCTTTTAAAATATAACGGTGGAGCAATATTGTCAGAATAAGACAGGTAGCCAATGCGCAGTTCTTTTCAAAATGTTTTTCGAAGAAATAGCGTTTTTATTTTTGTAAAACACTGTAGATCATATTTATTTTGAGTATTATATAATTTTATTAGTCTTTCAAAATCATAATTATCGAACCATACAATTTAACTTTAAACAGTGAGATCATAAGATAAGAAGTACTGAGCATACAATTAAGAATTACGCCTGTTACTAACTAGGGAAACATTAATGATTAACGAAAAATATGTTTAAATTTAAGCAGACAAACAACTACAAATCAATATAATGTAAAAACATATATAGAATGAGTGAATGACTATCAGAAAGATTATGTAAAAGTGGAATATGACTGCATGTCTAGCAAAGTCGAGCATTTTCATGGGTTACTTAATTAGTTTATATTTTTTTTAGTTTTTATCAATTGTAAGTGAAGTGGTAACAGATTAACATGATAATCATATTTACATTTTTGTAGATGCTGTGTTGACTCTGCGTATGCTGGTAGGTCAATGGTCATATATAGATTACTTTGGATCTCGTTGATAAAGCTTTTATACACACAAAGAGGCAAATCGATCCTTTTCCTCGGTACAATATACTATTGCAATTTACAAGAAATTAGATATGTTTTTCCACGTAAAACAGTAAATTATATACATCATTAATTACAAAATCTTAAAGAAAAACTAAAAACCCATTATGGCGTCCATTAATCACCCAAAAAAAATGAATTAAAAAAATAAGAAAGAATGTACTAGAATCTAATGGAAAAATATGGAAACTGCATAAGGAAAAATCAAATAAACTACTACAACATAAGATCAATAAACAGAAGTTGATTTATAACAACAAAGTACTGTTGAATCTGGCAAAAAGCCTAAATCATAGTTGGAACATGGAGTTAGCAAATAATAGAGACTTGATAGGTCTTTGAGAACCCATTGAGCCTAGGATTCCTCTTTCTGCGCCTTTAATCTCTTCCCTCATGCTTTTAATCCCCATTAAATATATTTTAAACATTAAGTCATTAAGTAACACAAAAATTAGATCATCAAATGTGCTACGTCCGCTTCTGATTTCTTATTAAACTTAAACCAACCATCACATCAAAAGATTTTTATTATACAAACATATGCATGCGCATATTTAAATTTATATCAATGGTCCTGCTAATTATTTTATTTGAATTATTTAATATTTTGCATCTTTTCAAGAAAAACGATTGATGGAACCCAGATTGTGTCTTTAAGATCATTTTTGAACCACCATTCAAAATTTTATTCCACTTTGCATTTTTTTTATCTATTGGTTATGTTATGTCTGATTTTTGTTTGTTTTTGTTTTTTAAATGTTATGTCTGATTTTTTTGCAGCATATATATATATATATATATATATATATATATATAAACATATTTTTTGTATAACTCAAAACATTTAGGGCTTGAATGGAGAGGTGGGAAAAAAGCAGTTCTTCCGGTGGAGCAGATCATACGCACACTAGTCACCATTCAGCATTATATCTACTTAACATTTTTGAAGTACATTTTTGCTCCTTCCAGTCGGATCGGGATTTTTTGTGATTTTGACCCGGAAATCTTCAATCGGATCTTTCCTTATTTTTAACAAAATTCAAAAACGAAAATAATTAATAAATCTAAAAAATATATATTTTCTCAACTAATTATTAATTTATTATACCTAAACTTTTTATTTATGGCATATCTTTAAGAGTTTTATAGATAAAGAAATCAAATATGATGATTTAATGCTAATATAACAAATTTGAGCTAATTTCCTAAAAACATCTCTCTACCTAATTTAAACATAAATATATTATTCTCATTTCACTTTTATTTGATCTTATATTTATATTATTTTGAATTATTATAAAATATATATAGTTAATAGAATTTTAGATTTTTCTGCATATTCTATGATTCAATTTTTTTAAAACGGACATATATACTCAATCGATAAAGAAAAAAGTATGTGTAATCTATATTAACATTTTTGAAGAACAAATTGCGCATTTAATCAGGTCATTTTTTTTATTCTGACCCGAAATTGAGTCATTCGGATCTTTCCTTAATTTCTACAATTATCTAAAACGGGACAGTATATTACGGGTGAAATCCTAAAATTAACAAATCAAAATACAATTATTTACTATTTTAAGATACAATGATAAATTGTTTTTTTGGGTTGGTCAAAAACACTAACTAATTAAAATATATATATTATGGAAACCATTTGAAAGCAAACTTTTAAATTGACTCGAATTATATGTCTTTTAAATAAAAGTGTTATTAAAAAAATAACAAAATGATGTTTAATTTTACAGGACATGATTATATGGTGGGACGGGTTTGGATCGATATTAATACGGGACAATATACCACGGGTGAAATCCTAGAATTAACAGATCAAAATACAATTATACAATCTTAAACACTAAACAAAACAAATACAATTTAAAATTTTTATTTTTTAGATACAACGCATGTGACTCGCGGTGTACAACAAAAAATATTATACACAACATATTCATCAGTTTATAAAAAGATTAAAAAAATTAAATAATTAACCTGCGGTATACCGCGGGTCATATCCTAGTAACAATTACAAAACGTTTCATTTTGAGAAATAATATAATATTAATGTACCACTTGCAGTACAATTACTAGAGTAAAAATACACTGTACTTTACGGATCTTGTTCCATTGCAAATAAGAGGTGGTCCATGCGTTTCCTCCGCCTATGAACATCTTTTATTTTTGTTATTATAATTTTTTATTCGTTAAAAATAAAATAGGTAGTTAAAATAAAATCATACTTCTCCATTGAAATTATTCACTTTCTTCATTTACCAAAAATACTTAATTTTTTATTTTCTTCTTATTATCATAGATAACAAATAATTTTTTCTTTTTCTTTTTCTTTTCAATAAATAATTTTATATTGCCATTCACCATATTCATTTATTTACAAAACAGTTTTTTTTTTAAATAATAAAATATTAAATACATTAATAATAATATATTAAACCAGTATTACAAATGTATTTTAATATAATTGTTTTTAGTATGTATAGTTTATGTAAAATATTTTATTTAAAATTAACGTTTTTTACAATATAAATATTTCACCCATACTGCGTGATCCGCTTTTACCATTCAACACAAATTTAAAGCGTTCGAACCGCTTGATCCGCTTTTGTTCCGCCAGATCTGCTTGATCCGCTTTTGTTCTGCTTGATACGCTTGATTCGTTTGATCCGCTCCGCCCGATACGCTTTCTCCATTCGGAGCCTTATACCATAACTACACTAATACTATGAGCCACTAGATTGAATGTCTCTGTCGCAATATTTCATGATATATAAAATTTAATTAGGTATGGATGTTTATAATTATTGCGTGGACGGCGAACAAGAAACAACGGTGCACAAGGACAAATGATTTGAGTTATGTATATTCTTGATAACTAGTATTAAACAAAACAATATCAATAAAAACTTAGATCTGAGAGATGAGAATCCGAGGAAAATGAGATATTTGATATAATCAAATTAGATTTGGTAAAAGAAAAAAATAAAATGAAAGAGAACAAGCTAGAGAATAAGGCAACAAGTATTGGTTTCACATGTTTGTGTCGACAGGCCACACCCCCATAAAAGGCTTGCTTGGCTTTTTTGTCTTTGCATGCATCTAATCCACTCCACCAATATTTTTCTCCTTCACTTATTAATTCGATTTTTTAGTTATATAGTATTTTGAATTTGAACAATTTAAAAACAGAAACATTGGGAAAAAAAAAAAAATGAGCATCAGCGAAATGGGTTATTGTGCCTCTAGTTTTTGGATGGGAATGTTAAAATTTTAGTTCCTTCAAAGATTGTATGAACCGTATGTAGTAATAAACCCATTTATAAATATAATTGCTGATAGTTATATATATGTTGAACATGACTTACGCCACTACGAGATCTCGACTCACCGGACTATTGGAAAATAACCTCAAATGTATTGATTAAAAAAAAAAGGTTTTGTTTCAATTTTTAATTTTTCAAACAAAATAATGCATTATGTGAGTTTGAATTTAGGCGATGATGCATTAATAACAATTGTATGAACCATTAAACTACATGTCATACTTAATAAGTATTGATATAGATCATGTGATATGGATTATAGCTATGTTCTAACAAAATTATGGTTGTTTATTTAGTCGAATGGTTAATCATTGTGATGGTTAAATGAATTATCATGTGGGTCGAAGGACTAAGCTTCATGTTTCTTGAATTTTGTTATTTTGGGCCTTAATAAGTCAGAAAAAGAAGCCCAATAATCTAAAACCCATCATTTGTGGACTTTTCCACAACTTATCCAATGACGTGGCACATTTGTGACTTTTCCACCAACTATTTTTCGGGTTAATTAAAAGGACTTACGAATTAATCAGTCCTTTATTTCCGTCCTTAATCAATTTTACTTTCCCACCTATAGCATGAACCACGACGGTTGGATAAATTAAACGGCCACAATATTGCCACGTGTAAGATCTTTATCTACATACTCCAATCAACGGCCGAGTTTTGGTTAAGTTCTAGCCAATCAGAATCACTCAGCTCATATTAGCCTTTTTGCTCTTTCTTTTCTTCTCCAACAAACCAACTTCAGCGACAAGATAACAAAACGCTTTCAGACGATCGGATAAAATGGCGGAGAAGAGCTTTAAGTACATCATCCTCGGCGGCGGTGTCTCAGCCGTGAGTATTTCTTCCTCCTAAGTTTTTCAGTCATTAGCTTAATTCGATTTGTGTTGCGAAATACCACAATTCTCATAGTTGTTTTGGCTTGGAGGTCGTTATTGTTATTCAGATAGCGATTACGATGAGTGTTGATTCTGATTCGTAGATTTAAACGTCCGATCGGCGGCTCTGCTTCTAGTTTCTAGAATCGTTGAGATAAATTTACAATCGAAATTTAGATTTTGAATCAAACAATCGCATGTTGATTGATCGATTTTACGACGTAAAACATGGATTTAATCTGGTTTCCGATATCTTCAGGATCCTATTAGGTTTCTACAATTGTTGCTTGGTTTTAGCTCAGATTAATTGTAGAACATCTTCACATAGTGTTAATGAAGAAAATTCCAATTGCAGTTAGTTACCAGAGAAAAGTAGTGAAGCAAATGCAACTCTGAATTTAGATGTTGTTGTTTCATGTTCTCTGTTTTTGTGTGTAGGGATACGCAGCTAAGGAGTTTGCTAATCAAGGGGTTAAACCAGGAGAATTGGCTGTTATCTCGAAAGAGGCGGTAAGCTTCCCCTCGATCTTGAAAACTGCGACTATGGAGTGTGTCTTGTAACCTCTGATCCTTATTTACTCAATATTGTGGCTTTAGGTGGCTCCATATGAACGCCCTGCACTTAGCAAGGGGTATTTGTTTCCTGAAGGTAAGACAATTTTCTACTTTACTTTGCAAACTACATGATTAATTTTGATTTTCTGAAACTTGGTTTTGGGTTATGCTTTCTGTTCTGAGAAACAATTACGATCTTCTTTCTATTGCAGGTGCTGCTAGACTTCCAGGGTTCCATTGCTGTGTTGGTAGTGGTGGAGAAAAACTGCTTCCTGAATCCTACAAGCAGAAAGGTAATGAACTCTCTGCACATCACCAATATCCATCCCCTGCTTATCTATATAGTCCCATAGATCGATGATAAATCTATCATCCCACAGAATTGCTCCACCACTCTATTACTCTTTATGCAAGCTTGACTGATTACGCTATCATTGTGTTTGCAGGGATTGAGTTGATACTAAGTACAGAAATAGTGAAAGCTGATCTTGCTGCCAAGAGTCTTGTCAGTGCAGCAGGGGATGTCTTCAAGTATCAGACTCTCATAATTGCAACTGGTTCTACTGTAAAGACTGATATCCTTGCATTTCTAACATCAGAAAGCTTCTTACAAATTCTATGATAAGAAGAAAGTAACTCTTTACCTTCCTTTGCAGGTGCTCAGATTGACTGATTTTGGAGTAAAAGGTGCAGACTCTAAGAATATCCTTTATCTGAGGGAGATCGATGACGCTGACCAATTGGTCGAAGCAATTAAAGCTAAGAAAGGTGGAAAGGCTGTAGTTGTTGGTGGAGGTTACATTGGTCTTGAGCTTAGTGCAGCTTTGAGGATCAACAATTTTGATGTCACTATGGTTTTCCCTGAACCTTGGTGCAGTAAGTTGATTCATATCCTTTTGCACTTCGGTTATTCATATATGTATTACTTAGTTTAGTTACACGTAATGAAAACCTATTTTTCACGCAGTGCCTAGGCTTTTCACCGCCGATATTGCTGCTTTCTATGAGACTTACTATACAAACAAGGGAGTGAAGATCATTAAAGGAACAGTGGCATCTGGGTTCACTGCTCAGCCAAATGGAGAGGTAAACCAAATAAACATTAGCTAATAGGAGTGGGCAATCCAATTTACGTTTTGACCAAAAAGAAAGAAACTGAAGTCTAAAACCAAATTACAATGTTATGTTATTAGGTTCGGTTTCGTTTGACGAACTGGATTAATTAGCTTTTCCAAATGGTCTCGGTGCAAATGTCTTACTTGTATTATTATTATCCGCCAGGTGAAGGAAGTACAACTTAAGGATGGGAGGACACTGGAAGCCGACATTGTGATAGTTGGGGTTGGTGCAAAACCATTGACATCCTTATTCAAGGGACAGGTCGAGGAAGACAAAGGTGGAATTAAGGTATCTATCTGCTTCGTGTGCACCTCTTCTTCTTCTCCCGTACCTTTCTGATTTGGATCTTTTAATTAACCGCTTAACTGTTTCACACAGACCGATGCATTCTTCAAAACAAGTGTTCCAGATGTTTACGCTGTTGGTGACGTTGCCACTTTCCCTTTGAAAATGTACGGAGACGTGAGAAGGGTCGAGCATGTTGACCATTCCCGCAAATCAGCTGAGCAAGCTGTTAAGGTAAATGATGCTTACAATAAGGCTACTATTGTTTAAAAGACCAAAACCCTATTATACCATGTAACCCTTGAAAAAAGAATACTCTCGAGGCCTAAATCTTACAGAGTTAACATATAGTTGTCTATATCTGAAGAAGCGTTTATATATGTGATGCATTGTGGCAGGCGATCAAAGCGGCTGAGGGAGGTGCAGCGGTGGAGGAATACGACTATCTTCCATTCTTCTACTCTCGCTCCTTTGATCTCTCATGGCAGTTCTACGGAGACAACGTAGGAGACTCTGTGTTATTTGGAGACAGCAATCCATCAAACCCAAAACCAAGATTTGGAGCATATTGGGTTCAAGGTGGTAAAGTGGTTGGAGCATTCATGGAGGGAGGTAGTGGTGACGAGAACAAGGCTTTGGCTAAAGTCGCCAAAGCTCGACCTTCTGCAGAGAGTCTCGACGAGCTTGTGAAACAAGGAATCTCCTTTGCAGCTAAGATCTGAGTGAAACACAACCACCAAAACAAACTCACTTTTTCTCTTCCATGTTAAAATAAAAACATGTTTAGCAAATATATTTAGTTTAAGTACGTTTGCTTAAAATAAGTTGTGTGTTTGTATTGCCTCTCTAAAACTCTATGAGAAGAGTATACGGCAGAGGAAACCTGAACCACATCCACATTTTAGATCATGTGTTGGTTTTCTGTATTTCGGTATTTGACTATTTGTCTTGGTTTTCTTAGTTCTCATGTGAACACCACTCCAAAAACCACACTTAATCTGAAATGAAGGGAGGAATTTACAATATGAAAGCAAATGGGCCTTGACATATTAATTCGTAGACTCTATTGAGCACTGAACGGCCCTTGAAATGTAAATTCGATATTCAATCTACCAATTCATTGTCCCTTAGTTTTGAGCTATAAATTCATAAAAATTTAACATGATATTATAGTCCTTTTGTTAGCCTAAATCGAATTTTTTTTCCCGATTTAGTCCTTTTGTTAGCCTAAATCGAATTTACGACTGTGGAATCGGTTAAACCTAATTCTAATATATTAGTTAGGTCTAATTTTATTTATAATGTGATATTTTGAGCGCAAATATTGATTTAGTTGACTGAAAAGATGAGATACTGTGATCGTCATTCGTCAGATACACTTTTCATTTTGCTTAGCTTTTTGGATTTTCACTTTTTGTGGTTAAGGATTGAACATAATTTTATTATCAGAAAAAAACAAAATGTGAACAACATTAATGTTTTTCATTGGTTCGATTTTGTTTAACACTCTTTTGGTTTAGTTTTTAACAACTTTGTGGTTCTTTGAACGAAACCTGTTTGGACACTTATAAACGCTATCATAAAACTCATAATAAGTGTTTTTTTTTTTGTAATGGGAATTACCTTGGCTATTGGTTCACATGGGATGAGCCAAACCGTTATTAATTAGCATAACGAGAGATAGTGATGCATATTCATAAAGTTTGTTGGTGGGGCAAATTCTATTAAGTATGGAGGTCATATTGTTAGGTCTTCGTCTTAAATTTAAAGTAAATTGGAAATAAATAAGACAGTGAAGCACAACCAGAAGTAATTCACCAGAATTTTTCAATTTAATATCTATTTGCTTAATTTGTGAGGAGGAGGACGAATAAATTGATTTTACGTGTCTACGTTTTTCCCCTAAAAAGACAACAAATATGGTGGGACATTTATGACTTAAAAAAATCAACCTAATCCACTATTTATAATAGTTGTAAGTTTTTTTTCTTTGTCAACGAATAGCTGTAATTTTGTGTGTTTGCATATGACGTTTTTCAGAATTAACAAGTTAAAATTTAAGAGACATAAGAGACATACTTTTTATAATATATATTTTTTAAAACTATACTCATATATGTTGTCTATTTTTAATTATATCTATTTTCAAAAATCAAATCTTAATGGTTTTTTTTGCTAAAATAAATCTTAATTTTTGTGGCAGCTTAAGGTGGTTTTTGATCTCCAAATCATCTTTATAAAGCATTTTAAAATCTTTATAAAATCTTATCAAAAGGTAAAATTGAAAATGGATAACATATGTGTAAGAAAATATTTTTGAAATTCCCGCAAAAATTTTATGATTAGTTTCAACTTTCAACGTTATTATATTATGTTAAAACAATTAATTTTATCTACGTAAACGTTTTTATTCAGAACACACAAATATTACAGGTACTTCAATTTTTACGATCAGTTTCAATGTTACAAATCACTCACTGAACAAAACGTTTCAATGGATAAACTTTTAAGATGTGGTGATACAGAATCAACGACAAGGTACATTAAGTGTACGGCCTCACACACATGACACATCTATCTCTAATCATCTCATTATCGTCAAGGTTTTCAACTTTCTACTAACATATAAACAAACACAACGTTATTGTTTAGCTTTAAATAAAATACGAAGTGTTTAAGGGTGGCATAAACTTTACAATTCTCTTGTAGCTCAATTTATAGACATACTAATTAATGAACACCTTATTTTATATTGACATGTCTTTCTCATGGTTAAATGATTAAATCTATTTGTGGGCCAAATAAAATAATTCACTACTATATCTTAGTGACATCAGAACATTGCATGCATTAATTAATGTGAAATTACTTATAGAATGACACAAATCTTTCATTTCATTACTAAACTAACACCTACTAAAGTAACAAAACTCATGAACGCTTTTAAAAGTGATGTTAGATTGGTCAGATTTTTTATATCAGCCGATTTTGTTGACCCTTTCAGAGAATTTGTGTTTGGAATGTGTTTTCAGTTTTGGTAATGTAGCTTGTATTTTTACTCGGTGTATGTAGTTCAATTAATTTAGAAATCTGCGACTCGGTGCTGGTAGTCATGTGAGTGAAGTCGAGGACTATTTAACAAGAAACGATTAACTCCTCATATTCATTGACAGATAGTATTAGTCTACGACGCTCTCCTAACAGACAAAATTTTCCAAGCTGTACGTAGTGGAATAATTAGGTAGTCGGACAAATTGTCTATATCCATCGATATACTAATTATCCTTATAAATTATATTATGCGCATTTGTCCTCGTGTTCTATATAAATTTCCTTGGGAAAAATAGTTTTATAGAGAAAGTACTTCGGTGGGTGATCTAAGTATTTAAAGAGTCATGTACAAAGCAACATATATCATTGAACCTAACATATTCAAGTCTTTTGATCCAGAGATGGTTTATCATCTTTCAAATCCTAAATGGAATATCAAATATAATATCTTAGATATTTTATATGAATTGCTGGAAAAAATACACCACACTAAACCAAAACACCACCATATACTTATATAAACTATAGGTGTTTGGTCTTTGGAAGTGACCGTACGTACGTATACGAGTAGATCAATGTGATTCACATGCAAGCACGCAAAGAGATAGAGTCGTTGGTAGTGGTCGTAATTCGTGCCCGTGCGAAGAAGTCAATCACGTGGACCACATGCTTCTTCCGACTACTTTCTACGTTTCTTCGTCACTCTTCAACCTAACAAATTTATATATCCTTTTTTTTGATAACCCAGTGTCCAGACTACACAGTGATCCGACTAGTCCACTGGGCCTAAGCCCGCGTGCCTGGGATTTTTAAGCCTCCACTTAAGGCCCCCCGGAACTGGTGGTCTGGGACGCTGCGCCCCGCAGGTAAATTGCGCAGTGGCCAAGTGGAGATCTAGCAATTGCGCGCTTGCGGAGAATCGATCCCTGGCCTAGACCAACAGGGCAACTCCTCCACAAGTGGCAACCACTAGACCAAGAACACTTGGTTGCTTTATTTTCTAGATATCCGTCAATAATCAATATTAATTAATATATTGATTACTTTAGACACTGTAGAAGAACCTAAAAAAGAAGGTTCATGCATACTTCTTGTCGATTACTAATACTGTATCTATATTTTAGGAGGATTCCTATACATTAGACTGGATTTAGCAAAATGTTCTGAAATTAATGGTTATACCGGTTACAATACTAAGTACACCAAACTTTCAATTCTCACAACTCTGATTATATTAGCATAGAAGATTTGTAACTCAGAAGATGTACTCTATCGACTATATAACGTAGCATTACCTCACATATGACAACGACGTCTAAACCACAACAGTTTAATTAAATTGTTAGTATAAATTAAAATTAGACATAATTGAAACTAACCGACGACGAATTAGTTCCTACGTGCCGATCATGTCAACGTACGTTACATAAACTAATCAAGGGCTGTAGCAAAAATAAGTTATATATAAATCTAAACGAACCAAATGTAACTAATTTGTCGTAACAACGATTTTAGCTAATGTATTGAAACTCAATTTTTTTCAACTGGAACTACCTTGGGAACCAAAGTCAACTTAGCCAACCTCTACGAAAGAATCCAACGTATGTCCATTTAAGTCAGGACTAATTTGACAATTTTAGCGTATGCCTATTTGGTTAGTATTTATTCAAATATACTTTTTGATTATAAAAAATATAAATATGATAACAAACAAATTTCCGGTAATAGCATTGTTGGTGGTAAGTTTTATTTATTAGGCATCCACTACTTGTAACATGACACGAGGAGTTCGGATTCACGCATCCATTATTATTTGAATAATAATTTGTCTGAATCCAATACAAATTTTGTTAATATTGTGCAAATGTCAGCTAGAGAGAAGTACATAAGTTCAAATGTCCCTAAATCGAATACTTAAAAGATTAAATTCCAAATAAAAAACGTTGAATAATTACTCAAATCATGGTTTTAAAGATGTACTTTGGTTAAGGTCTACGTATTATTTTGTTGACTTATTTGTCCTTTTTTGAAAAATCTTTCATGAGATATCTATTTAAGTCCGCATGATGAATACAAAATTCCTTTCATATTTCATCAAAATCATATGATGAAACCAATTATATAACATAAGGTGATTATAATAAGACATTAAGTATAGATCAAACTATCATTGTGTATGTTTGATGTCTCGTCGTCTCTCTTCCGAACATCGAAACGTTCATTTTTCCTTTTGCATAGTGCCATTTTTTGGAAGTCTTATATTCCAAATGTAATCTAGTGATACTGTGATAGTCGACCATTATTTCCGGTTTGACGCTTGTCACTTTCACACGCGTGATTAACTATTACATGTCGTTGTAACAAATATGAGGATAAAAATGAAACGCTGTTAGGTGGTGTCAGATTAATTATGACCAGAAAACAAAAGAAGGAACATAATGAATGTATATTATGAAAATGATGGCTTCATGAAACTGCAGAAGTATAATCTTTTATTATAAGAAAACGAATAATCTCTTATAAGCCTGACATCGCATGTTTTCTGATGCACTTGTATTATGTAACAAGACCCATTTGCAATTGATAAGTCATTTGGAGACCCACTAAACAGAAAAAAAGTGAATATATTCCACCTTTTTTTTCCTTCTTTCTTTCTCTTTTGACAGAGTGAATATTCTACTTTATAAATCAGTAATATTCGATGATCAAATGTTTTTATGTGTGGATTCTAATGATCTTATATTCTTACTAATAAAAGTGTTAAATTGGTTTCACGACACATGAAATTTATATAATTTTAGTAGTCCGTGACTTAAGCAAAATATTATATACAAAAATACGGAATGATGATCTTCACTGACACAGTCACTATTATATTTAACTTCCTGGTAGATAGAGAGAGCCAGACATGTGTCTTTATGAAGCTTTATGTATAGTGTTGTCATTCAAGTTATTTTCGCATACGTGTTATATTTCAGATGCATTAATGAGCTTTCATCTACATTTTTTTTTGTTAAGGCTTTTCATTTACATTAATAGTTACACTTACACATTTCACGTATCCACGTTTTTGTAATTGGATAAGAAAATGCAGGATCCAAACGAGTATGACCATGCCTCCACTTACATTAGGCGCTTAACCTACATTGATAAATTTTGTTCTCAGCTAAATATATAAAAATATATACTACATTGATGAATCAATGGAGTATATATTTTTAAAAATTAACACCTAAGTACCTAACCTGCATTGATATTATTAACAAAATAAATCAAAGACATATGTATATTAATTAATTCTATACTCCAATAATCACAATCAACTGCGAACAAAAAAAAAATGGCAATCTTACCTGTCTATATCCCACAAGGAAAACAGAATTAAAAAGAACTTGTCAAAATGGGAAAAAGAAACAAAATTAGAAAATAAAGAAGTAATTAGGATATAAAGAAGAATGGCCCATTTATTTTCTATATATATATAAATAAAATACATACAGATGACACAACACTGATAGCAGAACAAACACATTTGGATATTTCTTCTTCTTCTTCTCTCTCAATATTCACAAACCCTCCATTTTCTCTGAGTTTCGTTTCTTCTTCAGACAGTAACATCCAAGTGAGATAGTTCTCTCTTTGGTCTGATTTAGTTGCTCAGAGAAGAAGATGCAGGTCGTCGCCAACTTCGATTTCCAGTCTTCGCCGTTCTCACACGGCGCCGGAGAGCTCCTCATTTCTCCGGTAGACCGCCGGGAGATATCCTCACACGGCGACGCTTTTGAAGGCGCGTGTGACGACTCGACTAGATTGGCGGCGGTGAAAGTACAAAAGGTTTACAGGAGTTATCGTACGCGGCGTAGATTAGCAGACTCTGTCGTTGTCGCCGAAGAGCTCTGGTAAATTAATTATAAACACTGATTAAATTTTAATTAGATTAGTATGAGTCATTAACGTGTTGATTAATGATGATAAAAAGGTGGCAAGCGATGGATTATGCGAGGCTTAATCATAGTACGATCTCGTTTTTCGATTATTCGAGACCTGAAACTGCTGTTTCTAGATGGAATCGTGTGAGCTTGAATGCTTCTAAGGTATTATAATTTTGATTATTTTTTTTAACTTGCTAAATATCAAGAACGTTTGTTTTCACAAAATTTCTAGTTGAACTTTGTGATTTATTTTTCCATATAGAGTCGTCTTTTGAATAAAATTAAGAAAAAGTATGTCAAATTTCTCAAAATATATTATTGAAAGCAAAAAATATCCACTTGGTTAATTGGTTTTGTAATCTTGTGGTATGGTTATGGCCTTATGGGTTTAGGTGGGGAAGGGTCTGTCTATAGTGGACAAAGCTCAGAAATTGGCGTTTCAGCATTGGATCGAAGCTGTAATTCTTTTTTACCCTTTTTTTCCTACCATTTTCATTTTTTTTTTTGTGTTAATATTCTGATTAAATGTAAAAACAAGACTCAAAATATGAAATTTTTGAAAATCAGATTGATCCTCGACACCGGTATGGACACAACCTGCATAAATACTATGAAGAATGGTGTAGAGCTGATGCTGGTCAGCCATTTTTTTACTGGTATGTTTGAATCTTAGGTTCATTTTTGTTAGTGTTTTCTTGTAGTTCAAGAATCTTTTTTAGGTGTTAAATCTTATATGTAACTTTGTAAACTATCGGGTTTTTTTTTCAGGTTGGATGTTGGAGGAGGGATAGATCTGGATCTTAACGAATGTCCGAGGTCGAAGCTTAAGCAGCAATGCATTAGATATCTTGGACCTGTATGTGCCATTTTTTCTCTTATGTCAATTTTGTTTTTACATGTTTTGGCGATTTCTCATTTAAGTGTTTTTACGGTATCAGCAAGAGAGGGAAGAGTATGAGTATGTGATCATAGAAGGGAAGATTGTTCATAAGTTAACCGGAAAGTCTCTACATACGATGCATGGATCCGAGGGAACAAAATGGATCTTTGTTATGAGTACTTTCAAGAAACTCTATGCCGGTCTGGTAAGTTAAAACTGTTATATCTTTCAATTGGTTATGAGTTGATATTAGTATTGAAAAAGATTCTAATGGTTCATGCCTTGGTTTATGTTTACTTCAGAAAAAGAAAGGAAGGTTCCATCACTCGAGCTTTTTGGCTGGCGGAGCAACATTAGCTGCCGGGAGGGTGATTGTTGACAATGGAGTTCTCAAGGTAATTTACTAAGGCCAAGTCTTTTTCTTAGAGCGGTTGAGATACATATTCATTCATATCAACTTTGTTATGTCTACCTTTTGTGATTTCTCTGTTTGATCGTTCTGTCTCCGGTTTTTTCTCAGACAATCTCTGCATACAGCGGACATTACAGGCCGTCAGATGATAGCCTTGACACATTTCTCTCGTTTCTCAGAGAGAACGCAGTGAACCTAGACGATGTTGAGGTAAAGCCCTTGTGTTAACGCACTAAAATCTTTTTGATTTTATTTATAGACTAGTTTAAGTTGTTCTAATCTTGGTTGCTGAATGATATCATTAACTAGAGTTTGGTTGTTTAGACTACTTGACAGCTAATATATCTATGTATGTTGTAGGTGCATAAAGCTAGTGAAGATTCAGACAACTACGATGATTATGCGAAATCCAACGGAGGATCTGAACCGGAACTCTTAAAGAAAGAGAACACCACATTCCAAGCAGAGACTGAAACAGATGAGAACAGTAACGGAACAGTCGGGACACTTGAGGAGGCAAAACGGAGTAGTTACCAGAGAACACTCTCAGGTGGACTTGAGAGTCCAAAAGCTAATGTACCGCAGAAATCGATGCTACTAAGGATAAACTCAAAGAAACAGTCGAAATCTTTACAGTTGGGTCATCAGCTGACACTGAAATGGTCGACAGGAGCTGGTCCAAGGATTGGTTGTGCAGCTGATTATCCGGTTCAGCTCAGAACACAAGCTTTGGAGTTTGTTAACTTGTCTCCTAGATACCGGAGAAGCACACTTTCTCCGACCGGGAAGCTTGATGTCTGATCATATGTTTCCTTAAAGTAGTAGTTAATCAGAATCTTTCTTCTGTAACCTAATGTGTAAGTTCTCTATCTAAGGTTTTTGTTGTTTTCTTTTCATCTGGATGATTGTGAACACTAATCAGAAGGAAGAGAATGAGAGATGTGTTTATGTGTAAAAGCTATTTTCAATGATAATGAAGAGAACGGTTACAGTTTTTAGTCACTCGCTTACTCATTATAAAAGTTTTATAAGAAAATCCATAGCTAAAAATTAACAAACCTATCAAAGGTATAGGTTTCAAAGGAATTAAAATTTGTTACAAAAGCCATCATCTGTTATATCTTGTGACATCAAGAGTATAGTATCAGAAAATGTTGTTCTTTCTCCTTTAGTTGGTAATGTTTTGGTACATTTTCATGTGAAATATATTAAGTCATATTTCGTAATATATATATACTAGATCATCACCCGTACTACAGTACGGGTTGAATTTCATTTATTACAAAATTTATATATTATATAGTTATAGAATAAAGTCGTGATATATTATGATAGTAAGTAAAAAAATATTAATTTTTTTCTATCAGTCCATATATATAATATTAGAATGAATATATTTTTCTTTTTCTGTAATCCTCAATTATGGATATATTTTTTAAAGATATGAAAGCGGAAAATAATATTATTTAAAAATAAATAATATTGTTTGAACAATGAGTTAATTTATGTTAACAACCACAAAATGAGAGTGCATATAATTTAGTTAGATCAAAAATCAAAATATCATAAATGAATCACATCTAAAACGTAGATTATTTTGAATTAGTTAAAAAAGTTAGCTATTATTTTGAATTAATTTAGGAAATTATTTTTTCAAATTCTTATTCATTGGTTGTTGAAATAGAGATTTGTTTGAGCTAATTACGGAATTTACCAATTATTCACATAATCGAATATGTTATGAACATATATTTGGTATATAATATTACCAAATTCGATCCGTGTGTGGAGTCTATATTTTCATTTTACAATCCCTATGAAAATATTGCGGCACAATCTATTATTCATTATTTCCAAAATTGCTTGCAGAATTAAATTTTCAAATATTTAGAAGTGTCAAACCTTATTTAACTCATCTCATCATAAAATCTTAAAATATCGTCTTATAAGGATCATAACTTTCTATCATATAATACATTACTTTTAACCCGCCGCCTACTATATATATTAAACATATCTTTTTAGAAAATCAAATTAGTATTTATAATATTTTTATCTTTTTAATCTATTAAATATTTATGATATTCTTTAATATATTAAATTAAACTTTGTTTAAATGTTTCAAATTAAAATCTTTAAAAATTTTATTGTAGTATGTAAAATTATGAATTAAAAAAAAATATATGAAATTAGATATAAATATTCAAATAGTTATAAGGATCATAACTCATTTCATCATATAATACATTATATTTAACCCGCCGCCTATTATAAATATTTGTTTCAAAAAACAAATTAGAGTATTTATATTTCTTAACTTTTTTGATCTATTAAGTATTGATGATATTAAAAAAAGAATATATTACTCAAATATGAATTTTTGACCCGTTAAATTTGTTCTTTCATACATTGAACAATTTATATTCGTTTTTAAAAATTCAAATCTTTGTATATGCGGAAAAAATTTTACTTTTTTTTATTATGTAGATGATATAATAATTTATTTATTTTATAGAAATAGGATAATATAAAGATGAGAGGTGAAGTATAATGATTAATAACAAATTAATATGATAAGTTAGATATCAAATCTTATATGTTCATTTTGATTGGTCATTCTTTTTCAAAAAATTAATAATAGATTTTCGTTTTATAATTAAATTAAATTAATTAAATTGCAGAAAATAGTATTTGACTATTTTATCCTTAGTGAGTTGAATTAATTTACTCTATAAAATTTTATTTCTAATGGCATTTTCATGTAATTTTTTACAAAAAGAAGGTTAGTTAAGGGTTTCTTATAAAGTGTACTCCCCAAATAATAGTATAGGATATATATAAAATGAATTTTGAGCCAATTAGATATTTTTAAATTGCATAATTCCTAACAATTAAGAATGTGGAAAATGGGCCCAATAAGCCCAATTAAGAAATACCCAATCCGGAATTCGATTTACTAAAACGTTGAGGCAAATAAACAGAGAGAAAGAGAGATCGAGATCAGAATGGATTATCAGCAAAAGCCGCCGCCGTCTTCTGACCCTTCGCCGTCTCCGCCCGACCGTCCACCGGGACTTACATCACCGGAAACGCCCTCTAACAATCAGAATCATGACATAGAGGACATTATGGCTTGCGTCACGGCTTTGGAAGCTGCTCTGTTACCATGTTTGCCCGCGAGAGAGCTTCAAGCTATCGACCGCTCTCCTCATCCTTCTCATCAAAGTCAGTCCCTTTTCTATTCTCCATCTTGAATTATTTATAGTCTCGGTTCTTCATATCAATTTCACCTTCTAGGATTTTGGTTTGTGTTATTTCATAATATTGTTGTTAGTTTGAAGTCTTGTTTAGTGTAGAAAAGCAATGACTTCTCTTGTCTGGTGATGATAGTTTGGAAGTTGTGTTTGTTTCTGTGCTGGAGAATATCATTTAGATAGGCTCTTACTCGTTTTAATGTTTAGTTCACTTGCTTAACTTATGATCTAAGTGAATTTGTGCTTAGAATTCAGTTTAAACCGAAGCTTTGATCCTGATTTGATTCCTTATTCGATATTCTAGCTTGCTCGTTGATCTATGATGATTTGATTTGTGGATTGAATCGAGGGAAAGGGCTAATTTCTTAATTCCCCTCATTGAACTATGCAGTTGATGTTGAGCGGCACGCCAGAGATTTCATGGAAGCTGCCAAAAAACTTCAGCTTTACTTCATGGGATTGAAGCGAGAAGATCGCGCGCCTACAAGAGCTGAAAGCCTTAAGAAGGTGTGGTTTGATTTACCTCAAAACCCACCAATGTGAAAACTCCAAACATATTGTCTTACCAGTTTCTGCTCTGTTCTTAACAGGAGATTGCAGTGATGGAGGAAGAGCTTAAGACCAAAGATGAGCTTATAAAGAAGCACTCAAGGCTTTTCCAAGAATCGCAGAAGCTAGTGAAAGAACAGATTGAGAAACACCGAGTAGAGCTGGAGAAAGTATAACATCTCAATCAAAGTTTGTTGTTTTTCTTTTTATGGATCTAGGTTAGTTTCAATAGTATATAATGTAACTCTCTACACTCTTTATTCATCCAATTTATGTCTATTTTACATTGTAAGAGTAATATTGCAGACAAAAGGGAGATTCCATCTGCAAATCCACATTTCTTACAAAATGTGCAGATACACTTATTATTGTTTGTGGCTTTCTCTTTTCTCTAGAGTTTATATAGGTCCACAGATTCATTTACATGGAAACTTAGAAGAAGCTACTCATAGAAAGAGAGTCTCTTGGCTTGTGTTGATAACTTCACTCATATATCCATATGGTGACCACTTGTGTTGGGAGGTTGGCTTTCCAAAGGCATGTACTGTGCCATGATCCCTCTAATTTCCGCATCCATGTAACTCTGCATAATTTTAATTGTTACTTAGCATCTATCTAGACCGCAAAGTCTTTGTATATTTTAATATGATAACAAGACCAGAGTAAAGAACATCATACCCTGATTCTGTATTTGTAGACTGCATATCCGGAAAGACCTGCAACACCCACTCCGATTATAAGAATCCACAAAAAGCTCCAGCTGAGTTTTGTAGTTCCAACTTTGCCTGAACCTACACATTCACCAGATTCAAAAGCAGAAAATCAATCTGATTAATGACTCCAAATTAAGTATGGGCTTATGAGGAAGGAAGATCTCTTTTCTTTTACCTATGCAAGTGTCGTGCTCACGCATGTAAAGCAAACCATTGCTGCAACTGCATTCATAACTTCCCCATGTGTTTTTACATTTACACTCTGGGCACTGGCACACCGTTTTTTCCTTGCACTCGTCCACATCTAACACATTTAATCAAAATAATATGATTATGAATTTGAACTCAACGTTTTATCAATGATCTCACTTCTTTGATTGATTACAACCCAAAATTTCACGGATAATTGTGTAACTGAACAGAATATTCTATACCAACATGCATGCATGTAAACAATAGGCTAATATGTTACTAGTGATGCCTGCCAAATAAATCGTCATAGAGCTCTTTATGCATATAAAACACTACCTACCAGTAATATGTAAGTAACCCAGATTTTCATGCTAATCATAAGGAACATAATGCATATCTACCACAGCTACTTCACAATTATTAATATCTTCATGCAAACGCCATTTTCAAGTATGTATACTCCCTCTGTTTCTTAAAAATAGATGTTTTAGACTTCAAAATCGTTGTTATACGCTAATACTTTTGTTTCATGTAGATGAATGTTTTACAAGGTTGCATTTACATAGAACTAGCTAGACTCAATATGATGTAGATGTTTTCTAATAGTACTTCGTTACACACGGTTAGAATCTATATGCAAGTAGACCACATGTAATTTATATGCTAGTAAATATTACTTAACATGTACCTTCACAGTTCTTCACTCCATCGCCCTTGAACCCATGTGGGCATTTGCAATCCTTTGAATGATCATCCTGAAAAATCCATTTCAAGAACGAAAGAAGTTTTATTTTAGGTTATGAAGATGATTGTTCAAAAACATTGACATAGAAGACGAAATACTTACTACGCAAGCAGAGTAAGTGAAGCCACCTCGGGATTCTCTCCAGCATCCTCCATTGTTGATACCACAATGCAAAGCTCCAGAGGCTGCCAAGTGAAATAACATTTAGAGCACCCCATACATATGGATACAGAAAATGCACCTTAACAAAGATTATAGTAAGACAGCTTATGTTTTACGCAAAGGGAAAAATCTGCAGAATTGCATAAAAGATAATTAGAACATTGCTTTTCACAGCAAGCAAAAAAACAAAATCTTCACTTTTCCACTCAGTTATATGATCAATCTTGATATCATAGTCGCAGGTGGTACAAATCAACCATCTAACTTGATTCCAAGAAAATATCGACAAGGGACGAATTTGAGTATTGCTTGACTAACAGTGACAAAAATACTTGTGGAATAGACTAACTAAGCAAAGGCTATGGCATTCAAGCTACACAAATAAAAAATAATTTACCTTTGCAGTGAGTGTAACCATCACCAACAAATTTAACACCTTGAACAGTAGGGCACTCACACAATCTTCCCCTAAAAGTATCCTAATATGCCAATTCATACCAAAATAAGAGTAATCAGTCATAGTAGCAACAAAAAAACCAAAAGTAAGAAAAACAAAAAAAACCAAAAGTAAGAAAAACAAAAAAATAGCATGCCCAAATGATACCCTGCATGCAGTAATGTTGGCAGATTTGTCTTGCCAGCATCCACCGTTGTTTTCCAAACATTCATTAGTTTCCAACTCTGCAAAAATCAGAAGCAAATCTGAAAATTGTCCTCCCCTCATGATAACGTAATCAAGGATAATATATATATATATTGGCCCATCAAAAGAATTGTGGTTTCTGATTAAAAAAAAAAAAAAACATAGAGTTGCAAATGTCGTGAATAATAGAACCTTCAGTAAGACAGATAGCTGGTTCTGTTGACTCTTGAAAACCCGAACACATAGCTTTAAGTACTGCCCCTTTTTCCAATTTACCTAAACTCATGAAAGATAATTCAATTAGCAAAAAAATAAGTAAGATGCTGTAGAAAGGGAGGAAAACCTGACAAGTCAACATTTCCCCAATACCTCTGTATTGTCTGTTGTTCACGACAAGAGTTGGGAGTATAGTCACGTCTCCACGGGAACCTTTGCCTATCTGAAATAGACTCATTTTAAGAACACATAAAGGAATGTAGAAAATATGGCAACTTAAAACCAACAAGATCTAGAAAAGACGTGTAAGAGCCAATTGGTTACAAAAAGGCAAACCTGGGACTCCTGCTCTGCTTTAAGAACTGGGTTCTCCACATCTGCTTCAGGATCTCCGATACACTTGTCCACCTTCTTGAGATCAATGCCTGAATGCATATAAAACAAAATAATTCCAAAATTAGCCATTTTGAGCTGATAGTCAGAAAATTTAGGATGAAATACACAAACTTGAAAGTAACAAAATAACCAACTGGTGAATATAATGCTTCAAGCAATCCATAAAAGGTAAGCTAATCAGTTGGTTATTCTACATCATGGATGAGCTGATAGCTGAAAATACTATTCAGTTTCCAGCCACAGATAATGAGTCAAATAAATGATATCACAGGAGCAAAGACCATGGGAGTAATGAAGCATTATACTCACCAAGGGACTTAATAATTTCATCTGCGCATTCCTTGGTGTACTTCTTCTCCTTCATTGGACACCGGATGGCAAAGTCAGTCACATAGTCCCACCAGACCCAAGGCTTACCGCTCTCATTCATCACTCTATACACACAAGCCTGGCGAAGATTCTGAACGACAACATCCTTTCCATCATACCCTTTTGTAAAATCCTGCTCAGGATCAGGCGCACAGTACCTTCCATGGTTGATGCACTGAGACTTGCACTGTTTACTCAACGTAAAAGCTTCAGGACAGTACCAGGTGATATAATGTGGCGTGAACTGAGTATGCCCACCTTTCTCAAGAATCTGAGCAGCTCCTTTGAAATTCTTGAGAAACTCAATCTGCGTATCACACTTCTTCCCACACTCGTCATTGCTATTAGTCCAGAGTTCATACTCTACACGCTCATCAGGATGCGGAACCGACTCAGTCCAATCTAGCTTCATGTTAACCATACCACCACCGGAAAGCGCAGACTTTATACTGTCTCCCAATGTTTTAGTAATGAGAGCAGAGGGAATAGTAATGTTTTGAAGATAATCCGCATCAGATTTATCTTCTTCAGGTGTATCCATTGTAATCAATGGCTCAACTTTACTATCAGCTACAAGAATCGCAGCTGCTCCAGCTTGTTGAGCTATCCATGCTTTCAAAGTGAAGAAACAATCTGAAAACAAAATTCAGTTCCACAATTGAATCAAAAACAGATCTTTTGAATCCCCAATAAGGGAACAACTAAAAAGGTAAGAACTTTGATTTGGAAATCGAAATCGAACCTCCACGATCGATAAGGACAAAAGTGGGTAATCGTCCAGGTTTAGATTTGAAGGAGATATCGAAATCACTGTAGCTTTTACAAGCATTCTGATTCGATTTGGGATACACGACGGTGCCGACTAAAGTACCACCGTATTGAGGAACGCCGAAATTCCCAATGGCACATTCGTAAATACCTTTGATCGAATCAGGTGATGTAACTTTGAGATTGTTCTTCTCCACAACGAATCTACCCATTGATAGATTCAAGATCAGAAGAAACGAGAGAGTGAAAAACCCTAGCTTCATGATTCCAAAGTTCCTTCCTTTAGAACTTACCCAATTGATTGAAAGAGATAAAGATCAGAGATTTAAGCTCACACAGAGATTTTGCTAATTAAGATCCGAAACCCTAGAACGAAGATTTCGAGGCGAAATGTACGAAGCTTTTTTTGAATCGTGTGAAGGAAGTGAACAGTTTAAGAGAGTTAAGAGTCTTCTAAGTTAAGGAAGAGAAGAAAGATTTAATCTAATGGATAAATTATGGTAATTTAGGATTTTAGATTCATGAATGTTAGAGTACTCTTATTTTATTAACTATTAAGTATGGAGAAGGGTTTATCACTTTATTGAATTGTTCTTCTTTGTCGTTTCCGGAAACGTGGATTATTGAAAAAGAGTTTATAGAAATTGGATAATAATCTAAGAATAGTAAACGGGAAACACGTGGGCAATCTTTTAATCTGACCGGTACTGAAAAAAGAAAATTCATGTTTCAGCTGATTTGATGCTTTAGCTGAGAGGTGGATTTTTGACCATACCATAAAAAAAAAGATTGGTACGAAAATAAAAAAGATTTGCTTGTTTAGGTTTATTATGTAAATAGTTATTTTATACACTTGCAATTCATTATTAGAGCAGGGATACATATAAGACCATCTGCATTGGGGGATCACCCCCCCTGATCTAAACATTATTTAAATCCAAAAAAATGGGTTAGTGGGCTTAAGATCAGGAACTGGGCTCTTGACCTGGATCTGTTCTTGTGGGTGTTGCGGGGTGACGTGGCATTTGGGCATTGGTTGGAATATTCAACATATTTGGAATAAATTTGGATAATAAACTATGTATTAATTAGATAAAATATTTTTGTGCTTTTATTAAGTAATATGTTTGTTTGTTTATTGTTATTTATATTTTTAATGTTTTTTTCATAAATATTTAGTATTGTATTTTCACTTTTATTTTCAGTTTTTCATAAATTTGGCATTTGCAATTTATATGTTATTTTTAAATGTTTTAATAATTGTAAAATCTTAATTTAATTTAGATTATTATATTATTAAGTCTTAAGATCTTACACATGTTCTCCCACTAATCAACTTCTAAACAAAAGATCTAAACACATGATCTTACATTATTTTAACATTATATTCTCTATAAGAACACCCTCACATGATCCCCCATTGATGATGCCCTAACATTCTTCCACAATCCTTTATCTTATAAAGCACAAGTCACTTGGCCACTAAAAATCTGCCACATAGATTTTGTTTTATAATTTATTTTTAAAAAATCCATTAAAAACAGTTAATATCGAGATTGTGGTACGTTAGAAAAAAAAGCTAAAACGATAACTGTACATTTCTAAAACTGCAAAACTCCTAGATCCCTAAATATGCTCAAACTACCACCAACCACGTTCAATATGAAATATGTCACGATTTCAAACCGTTTGATCTCTTATTTAACCCCCAATCAACTCAACTTCTTATCTATTTTCTCTCTTTTCCATCGTTTTATTTTCTGAGAATTTTCATATTCATCCATTTTTTGGTTTCTCATCTCGATTGCCAGTTTGTCTTCTTCTCCGTCGTTTCATTTCCGTTTGTCGTATTCAAAGAATTTAGCAAAGACTCTGATCCAGGTTTATGACTACTCTGTATTCAATTTTCATTTTATATTTATCACATATTAAATTTTCTCTGATTTTACATGATTCAAGTTGAAGACCATTGCCCTACTGGATTATACTCCTACTTCCCAACTAAATTCTTCAAAACAAAATGGAAAAATAAGAGCTCTAGCCCAAAGATAGAATTCCTTGCATGCAACTTAGTTCGTGGAGGAAAAGGTACACAAACATGAATTTAAAAGTGAATTTAGGGGATTAATTAAATGCTAATTAGTTTTCTTTTTAATCAATGATTTTGTTTTGGTTATGATTCAGTGTTCTTGGATTCATTTTCTCATACTACAGTTCAAAGATATATAGAGATGTCAGATACCATTGCCAATACCCATCTAAATCTGGAAATACTCTTATGGCAGTTATCTACTGATGGTACTTTCTGATTTGTAAAACCCTAAAATTCTGGTAGTAGAATATGATATTTCTGTGCTTACACTTATGTAGTTTAGAAGCACAATGTTTCTTCAGTTTAGATCTTATTCAAATAGACAAATCTAACTAAGCATTGCTTGACTTATTTGTGACAATGAGACATAATTCAAGTTAACGAATAATGTTTACTGAATATTTGCTTTATATTCCAGCAAGACGCATCAAGAGAACGTGATAATTTGTTCCACGTAAAGGATATACAAAAATGAAGTCATGATAGTTGGTGAACTTGATGAAGGAAACGAGTAATACCTCCAATCTCAATCTTTTGTGTGTTATTCAAATGCCTACTTGAAATCTCCGATCATGTAGAAGATTTGAATAACTGAAAGGTAAATGTTTATAATTGTGAGTAGTTTACAAATTTACTTACGAAGTACCGATGTGACTTATGGAGCTTTAAAATTTGATTACTCAAGAACTGTGCAAACTTATATTTTTACTATTAATGTTTTGTAATAAATTACTTGATTATGATTTTTACACTGTTTTGCATTCAATATTTGTGTAAGGATTTAAAAAATATAGCTGGCTTTTGTATACTGTCTCCCCATTTCTATAATCCATCTCTCCCATCCGTCTAAATTCTAACTATATGTTTCTCTCTTGAAGGTGGGTTACTACGGGTTACAGCAATTACGATAAAGGGGAGACAAATAATTCAAAAACGTATTTCAAACGTTCAAGCACTATATGTCACTGAAAAGACGATGCTATCATGTATATGGAGTCTCAATGGAAATGGCTTCATAACAAAGACGGCATACTGAAAGATAAACTGACAAAAACAAAAGAATTTGAAGAAATTGATCCATTTCATGTTTAACTTTTTACATCTTAATCTTAAAAGTTATTTCCCGTACGAAGTACGGGTCTAATACTAGTGAGCTAATAAATGTGACTATATGTCTATATCTGTACAGATGTGACTGTATATCTGTACATGACAATCTATGCATGATTTTGTAACCACACAAATGCATGCTTCACTCGACTGTTCTTTTTACAAGAGAGATCCCACTTAGGTCACCATCCCTTGGCCCATTCCTCAAATATAACTAGAAGCTTCCCAAACGGCTTTAGGCTTTTTAGCCATTCATGTGAATTTAGATTTTAGAACAATTAACTCTTATGGCCCATTAACATTAGACAGGCCCATAAGAGTTAGGGACTTTTAACCTAAACCCTAAATGTTTTCTTCTTCCGCAATCTTCAAAACGAGTTTGTTCTTCTTAGTCCAAAACCTCGTTTCTGAGAAAATGAGAGAAACAAAGAGCTCTCTGAAATCTCAGAAACAGAAACCAAGAAGCTTGAAAGAGGAAGACCTGCTACTGGATTCCGGAACTAATTCTGTTTACGACGGAGATGTATTCTTCTTTACATAGCTTGGAGCTTTTTTTTTTTTTTAATTTTCGTGTATTGTGCATTTGGTTTATTTATTCATCTTTCTGCGTTTTGTGTTGTGTAGAGTTTGTCCGTGTCTTTCAGTTCCAATGATTCCGAGGATGATGGTTCAACAAAAGATGGAGACAGAGAATCATCCGTCGATGGTATAATTGCTTACTTGTGCTTTTCCTCTGGTTCATCAAGAGCATTGGATAATTAGAAATTGGATAGGTTAAGTCTATTTAGGTTTATTATAGTTTGATACTTGTGGGAGTGTATAATTAGCATTTATGGGTAAAATATGGATTCTAGCTTTAGTATATTGCAAGTAAGAGAGAGAGAGTAATTGTGCCGGCATTTACATGTATGATGTATTAGGTCATGAGGGATCATATGATAATAATAGTGAACAAGTAGATGGTGAGGAAAATGGGAGTGACCAAGGTTCTGAGCAAGATGAAGTTTCCGAAGAGAGCGATGAGGTTGATGCTTTATCTATTCATTCTAGAATTTGAAACTATCTTTTCTCAATTTCCAAATTAAACGAAACGTTATCTTTGATGTGTAGGTTGCTCCAAGAAATGCAGTTGGGGATGTTCCCTTGGAGTGGTATAAGGATGAGATATATATTGATTATGACATCACTGAGAAGAAGATTACCAAGAAAGAAAAGCAAGACAAACTTGAATCTTTTCTTGCAACTATGGACAACTCCACGAATTGGTCAGTTTGAAGACTTTTCTGTTTATTTGTATATATAGTTTGTTATTTAGTTGCATTGTGGTGATGAAATTTGTGAGGCTTTAGGTGTAAGATTGATGATGAATATAATGACGAGGAAGTGGAGCTGACTAAAGAGGAGAGAAAGATCATTCTCAGAATCCTCAAAGGGGAAGGGCCACATACTGACTTTGATCGATATGCGGTACGTAATGTGGTTTATGTCTAGCCGTTTTCTATTAATATATCACTTAAAATGTGACTTTTTGATTGATTCTCTTGGTGCCAGTCTTATGTTGATTGGTTCAAATGGGACGATGCAATACATCCACTCTCAAGTGCACCAGAGCGCAAGAGGTTCATCCCTTCAAAATGGGAGGCTAAAATGGTTATTAAGTTTGATAAGCCTGAAGAAGAGCCCCTCTTATGGAGTGATTAAAAGATTGGTTTGTTTTGGTCTATTGAATAAATATTATTTTATACAATTGCAATACATTATTAGAGCAAGGATACATATAACATTCTTCCACAATGAGCCAATAAATGCAACTATATCTGTACATGACAATCTATGCATGCTTTGGTAACCACACACAAAGATTGTGTCCAGAAAAAAACGAAGAAAGAAGCTTCATTTGGCTGTTCTTTTAACAAGAGAGATTCCACTTGGATCACCACCCCATTCCTCAAATATAACTAGAAGGTTCCCAAATGGTTTTAGCCATGAACGAGGCACATGGTACCTGAAACATTATTAAATCAATCATGTGAGTTAGATTTTTGAGAAAATAATAAGAACAAGAGAAAGATAGTGGTTTTTTTTCTTTTTCTTCTAACCATCTTTGTGAAGGTTCACCACAGTGACTGAGACATTTCTTCTCGTTGTAAATTCCAGCATAATTGCAACGTCCGCAGTTCCCACGAGCCGTGTAGGCAGGCCAGTGGCGTCCAATGTTATGTCCATTAACCCAAACTTGACCTTTCCCCATTGTGTTCATGTCCAAAGCCAGTGGTTCGTTGCCTTTCGGTGTATCAAAAGAAGACTACATATAGAGACAACAAGAATCCGATATGAATTTATCTTATATTAGGTTCATAATTAAGTACTACAATAACATCCATAGTTAGAATTCATCACAAAAACCATATTAAGAATGACTTCAAAAGCACTAGTTAGCTACATCCTAACTAATGTGAATTATATGTTTTCAAGTGTTTTACTCATGTATAGATAAAACATTCAACATATCATATAATTAAACCTTTTAATTCATTTGCCTTTTGTGTTTAGAAACACAAATTGAAGATTAAAAGATCTATTTCTAAGAAGATGAGAGAATATTTCTTACCTTGTACCAGGTCAAGGGTTCCTTCTGGACCACGAATGATCCTTTTATCCACCATTTCACAGCTGAACTTCCAGCTAAGGTATGAAGGCTCATAGCTTCACCTCTAATACCAATCTACTCATCACAAATAAAAAGAAACACATTTAGTTTAGTATTGTTAGTGGTTTGTAAAAGTGTTTTTATCAAACCCATGTTCAAGAGAACCTTGTAAGACCACTTCCATTTAGACATGTCCCATGTCCCAGAGTTAACTCCCTTCAATGTGACTGGTCCTAGAACACCAGTATTCCAAGTCTCGTAATGCACACCAGCGTTCTGCCAAAAAACAATGGAGATCATAAAACTTATGGTCTTTCCTATGCTAGATCCATCTTTATATCCCATATGAGATATTCTAACAGAAGCAAGATCATAACTAACCGGAAGACCCACTGCAGTACTTAGCAGAGCAAGTTTGTTGATGCCTACACTCAATTTGATCTTTTGACTAAATGTGAGCTTTGAGTTGCTCAGTGCTCCATAGGAAGTTCCTAAAACAAAGAAAAATGACGTTTTAAAACATTTTTTTTTTCCAAAACGAGAGTTTGGCCTTCAAGTTTATATGATTTTACCTGCAAGCAGGCCATTAACGAATACATGAAGAGCATGCCCAGCCGAAAAAATGGTAAGAAGAGGATTATCACCAGTCTTCAAAAAGCTCTCATCAGAACCAATAGTAATGCTGAGAATAACCGCATATTCAACATAAAACAAACCCAAGTGTGATTAGTAAACAAGCAAGATATTGAGATTTCATCAGTAAAAGAGTTCAAAAATTACTTACTCTGTAAAATACCAGAAATAATCTGTTTTATCTCTGGTCATGCTTATTTGTTCGACAAGACCATCTTTAACAAATGTACCATCATCATTTGAAGAAGGGCTTCCTTCGTTGTACGATTCCCAGGAAAATTTCGTGTAAGTAGGAACCATCTTCATAAGTATGGTTGGTGCACGGATCTATATCACAAAAAAAAACACATACATATAAGTCATTATCAACAAGGTCAAGACCGTCTTAAACTATTTGAAAGTCCTCTGTGAATCTCTAATTGAAAGTAAATTTTCAATGTGTTAAATATGTTGCCATATACAAAAGTTAGGATATAAGCTTTTAGTTTATTAACCTTTGCAGTGTTGTAATATTCGGTTTTGCAGTCTGGTAAAATACTAACAGACCAAGGAGGCAAATCATACGGAAATCCCCTAAACATAATTCTTGCTGCAGAACTCGTATCGTAGTTCGAGAGAAATGCAGCGCAAGAAGTCTTGGACTTGAACACATGAATCTGAAAACATAACAAAAACAAAATATGTATGAATCTTTTATGCTTCTTATATATCTTCAATATTTCATTTCATTAATTTGCATACTTACTTCTTGTTTATCACCGAGAGATGTGATGGTGGGATCAACAGAGACCAATGCAGGTTCACACAGCTTAATGACCTTATGTAACTCTTTCAAGTGACTATACTTGGGTTCTCTCAGTAATCCTTTTCACACACACACACAAAAACAAAAACGTGAGAGAATAGTCAATTAAATCGAATAGACAGGTGAGCAGAATTAATTACCATATTCATCAAGAGGAGCATCGTAATCATAGCTAGTGGCGATGAAAACACCGGCTGTTCTATCAAAGTTGGTCCCTCCATAATACTGTGACACCATTCTCTTATTCAACTCTTGAAATCATAAATTAATTATTCTATTTTTATATTTAATAAATTATTAAAGTTACCATATAATAATTCATAAAAGAACCTCCGTTCTGTATGAAACGAGCCACGGAGAACGCAATGTCTTCGACTGGTCTGTTTGGTATCGGACCTCCAAATTCCGTGAACCTGAGAATCATCAGACACACACACATTACTATACTCTATATTTTGTAAAAGATTGTTATATAAAGAAAACAAAAAAAGATGATTTTGTTTTTTGTATAGAAATTGAAATAGCTTTGTGACTTACCAACCAGTCCAGTTCTCTGTCCACAACTTCGGCTTGTTGACTGAGTTTGGTTTGAAACCCTCACAGTAAAAGCCATTGCATGTGTCTATCTGTTATATTTTTACTTCAACGTCAAATAAATTTGGTAAAAACATTTAAACTGTAAATAAAGTTGAAGAAAAATTGTTCCCATAGATTCTTTTTGTTTTTTGGACGGTGCCCCCATGTAATTTAAATGGAAAAAAGACATCAAAGGCAAGCAAGTAAATGGGAAAACGATATTTTAATGAAAATATATACCGATAAGACAATAATGGCTAAAACAAGAAAAAGAGAATTTTGACTTAAAGATAAATTAAAGGCCAAAAAATTCAAAAGTTAACCCACCAAGGAAATAAGTAATGATTTTCAAATTGTAAAATACATAAATGACAAAATAATAATAAACAAATATCTTCTTTCGCTTAAAGAATATCTAATTGCCGACAAAAGCAAAATTTGATCTGATAATAATGTATTGATTCTATCCGGATAAGCATATAAATCTAACCCCCACCCAACTTAAATGTTACCTTTCACAACAACTAAAAAATTAAACTGATAAGCAAATTTAATGTTTTAAAAACCTTTCAAATCGATATAAATAGGTTGATAAAAGCAGAATTCAAACGAAAATAGAAACTCTACCAAACTCAACCATACTAATTTTTTTGGCATTAAATTAATTAGGATGCTATCTAAACCAAGATTAACCAAAACCAAAATGGAACATCCTAATCAAGGGGTAAATAAATAAGAAGAGAGGAAGGAAAAGAGAAAAATACAATGGGGTAAGGAGCATCCTCTTGCTTGCACATAATCCATGGGACACCTGTGGACAGTCCCAATGCCATTTCAGCTGTCCATTTTGAGTAAGCCTTTCCTGCTGCTCCCATCTCCCATTCCATTGGTCCATACTCATTCTCTATCTGTCCATTTTTATTCATTCACATTATTATTATAGTTTGTGTCTCAATTTAAACAACTAGGCAAAGAAGACACAAACCTGTGAGAGAATGATGGGTCCTCCTTGAGTCTCAAACAGCTTTTCTTCTTTCATCATATCCACAATCTTCTTTGTGAATTTTTGCATTGCAATCTTTTCAATCATCACATCAAGTTACACTTTGTAATTCTCAAAAAAAAATTAAAATTGAAGTTGACTAGTTCTATAAGTGTGTACCTTGAAAGGTTCATTATCTGTTCTGAAAACTATACCAGGAACATATTTGAGCCAAACCGGAAATCCCCTAAATTACAGAAATAAAATATAAATAAATTTATATATACGTATAATATACACAGATTTTGTTTATTATATTTACCCAAAATTCCACTCGGCACAAACATATGGACCAATTCTTAGATCAAGATATAAACCAGCTTGATGCACCAGTTTGGTGAATTTAACCAGATCATATCTGTCCTGAAAATAATACTGGAGCAAACAAATATACAGAGCATTAGAAACTAAAGAATTTATATGACTTATGAGTCAAGTAAGAAAATTGTTAAATTCCTTAAATTACATTTCCAGGAGAAGGTTCATGTCCATTCCAGAAAACATAAGTTTGTATAACATCCAAACCTCCTTCTTTGGCCTTCTTTATAAGATCAGGCCACATCTGCATAGAACAGAACATCCACAAGTTTCTACTTTTAACTTAATATATACAAAACCAATGTAATTTTGTGATGAAATTGCCTATACTATTAGCAGATTTCAGAAAAACCAAAAACCTATGTGCAGAAAATCAAAGCAATCATTTCAGAAATTTCAGAAGAAAATGTGTTCATAACCAAAAAAGTTTGCATGTAACTAAAAAAAGATATTAATGAATAATTAGAGATTACCTCAGGAGTGCTTCTTGGATAGTGAATAGAACCAGAGATAAGGATCCTTCTCTGTCCATTGATGATTAAAGCTTTATGATCATAAGTGACCACTGCTTCAGTCGACCAAATCAACGATGAAAAACACAAAATTGCCAAAAAAATCCATGCTTCATCTCTAAAATGCATACCCATTTTCCACTTTCTTTATAAAAAAAAACTCAACTTTTCTCTGTCTTTTTGTCTCTTTTAAAAAACTGGTAAAAAAGATTCTGCTGGAATTATCAGCTCTGTGATTGGAATGAATGAGAATCTAGAAGCTATATGTACATATATGTAAAGGCTGACACTTATGTCACTGTACATATAGATAGATTATTGAATGCATATGAAATTGAGGAAAATTATAATGGGACCGATCTCTCTGCCTTTTTGAGCGGATGACATTAAAACTTGGTGCCCTACCAATTTAGGATTTTTCATATATCTTTTGATATATTTTTTTGTTAAGTTATAGTATATTAAAAAAATTAGTAACCGTTCTTTGATTAATATTTTGCTTATCTATTTTTTTTTCCTTCACCTCTTTAAACAATTACTATGTTTGAATATATAGAGAGTAATATTTTCTTTTAGGCCTCGAAATAAATTATGTAATCTAAAGTTGTGATCAACTCGGCAACTCCACTATTAATCTCTTTATGACTTACAACGGAGATGTCATTTACGATTATGGTTCGGGGACATCACATTATTGTCAGTCGCTATATGAATTAAAGAAAAATACGACACCTTTAAACAATATATAGTACATGATTAAAGAGGGAAACCATGTATATGAACAGTTGATCGTGTAAGAAAAAACTTTGAAAAAATAGGATACTGATCAGTGCAAGTTGTGTGGTCCGTGACTCAAACAGAGTATTAACAGAGTTGATGACTCATTGTATAGTAAAATATCTTCTTGTATAGATAAATATCTTAGTTTACTATATAAGTCAATTGTACAGCTACACAAATGATTAATGAGAATTCTAGAATGTTTTACAATTCTATTATATTTAACACAAAACAAAAAAAGATCGAATGTAATGCAAAAAAAAGGGTCAATTAGTTGGGTCATCTATGTCTAGTAATCCACGTATGTCTTTATCTGTATCGTTTTAATTCAAGGATAAGAACAGACCAGACTTAACATATTTTAATTTATTAATCATCATTACACACATGTTTTCAACAAGAAAAGTTAGAAAACCTTTACGTACTTTATTTAACGGGACATGAATGGTTAAGTAAACATTCACCAATGCCTAACAATTAATTAGATTTGTGCATACCCACAATTAAGTACTGATGTTTTGTGATTTTGTTGGTTTAATTAACCTTATTGTTTACCTCATCATTTTTCATGCATTTTGCATTCATACTATAGATTTACTTGTTTCGTTTGCCCCAAAAAAAGAAAGAAAAAAAGAAAAAAAAAAAAAAAAAAGAGAAAAACTAGACTACTTGTCTCGTTTTCTACCAAAGAATCCCAATTACATTTTCTATTTTGTCTCAATTAATTAAATTTAATTATATGGTAAATGTTGAATTAAAATATAATTCGTCTTTATGCTCCACAAAGTAAATCGTTTGGGGCTTACAAAATCTCCTTTTGTAGGCTTGTGGTTATTTAGTTTTTAGGCTTGTAAATTTAATGGGCCCATAACGCTCAGATAGCCCAATCCATATAATATGAACATTGCTACATTGAGATTATATTGCAACCATATAATGTCACTAATCAAGCCATCAGATTTGGTGCGTTTAACTGTTTAAGAGATTAAATGGTTGACGTAATGTTTTTTTTTTCTTTTAAGTTTTAACATTAACAAAAAGTTTATATTTAAGCAATATTGCCGAATTGATAAACGGACCTCTAAGTCAATTAAAAGGGATGAATCATGTGATCCCCATTTCTTTTTATTTGTTGTATATATTGGTGTTTTTAATCAATACCTCTTGGCTCTTGCCAAATATAACTATATCTTAATAATAATAAAAGAAAATGAAAATAGTGGACTTGGTGATAAGAAATTAATAATTGAGCTATTTTTATACTTCGCCAAAACATTCTTATTATTCGAATATGAGTCAAAAGTTTTAGGATTGGATGTGGAGTGGGACTTTGGTATATAATATGGCATATGCTATTTCCATTTCAATATTCCAAACGAAAAGAAAAAGTCAATCGTCCGTACACGGCTTATCTAAAAATACGTAACACATAAATCATTTATTCATATTTTCTATTTGTAATTAGGAAAAGATCCATAAAGCATATTCGTTAGGACCATATTAACTAAGCAACGTGGCCAGATAATATGATTCATGTTATACATCTTCGCACGTTCCATCGGATTACTTGTTTTACTCTTTCTCGTCTTCCTTACTTGTTCATTGTTTGACACATGGCCATCATTTTGTGGTTAAATGATCTCGCCGTTGATTACGAAACACATGAAAAATATCTAATTGTTTTTTGCCTACCATAACTAGAGTAATTTCGTGAAAAATATCTAATTGCTTCATTGTTTTGTTAAGTATACAATGTTTTCGAGACATTAAAAATGTGACTAATAAAAACAGAAAACAGGTGCTTGCTAATTCACATGAAGCTGAATAATCTTAGATATTAGATGGAAAATGTGGCATGTCGTGGATTTTCATCACATCAAGATTTAAATTAAGTCGACCAAACAACCTAAAAAAAAACATTATAGTAAAGTCTAATAGGACAACGATTTATTAAATGGTACCATATCATTTGTTTATGGTCATGAGGCTTTTTCCTCAATGACTCAGTGGCCGACGTCGGAACTTAAAAAATGGACCCCTTTCTTCCTATTTTTTTTGTATTGTTCAACGATTTCTTAAGATTCCTAATTCCTTAATAATAAAATTAAGTCCATAATCTAAACACCCTTAAACGATGTTTATTTCTATTTTTTTTTCATCAGTTTATTTCTATACATTGTTTCATTTTTTAACTTGTATTCAAAGTTACTTATTCAGTTCAACTTTTTGTTTTTTTGAGAAGTTTATTCTGTTTCACTTCGATTCATATATCGTAACTAATACAGTTTCTATTCAATGTAAGAACGTAATGACTTTCTTCAAACAGACAAAAAATTATCCGCTTTTACATTTGCTAGAGACTTAGTGATATTATCAAAGAATAATTTGACACCATAAAAAAAAAAAAAAAAATTGACACCATCGATACAATTTTCATACAGATATACGAATACACGGAGGACACTATATATTGAAATCTTCATGTAATACGTCTCATTTTTTTCCCTATTTTCTAGGGTTCTTTAAGGTTACGAAAACCTTAATTATAATTAAACAATTCAAGCATTGACCTTATAAATTGGTTATTTGTTAAATAATAGAAAGATAAAGAAAACTGCAAGCAAACCTCAAAGAAAGTATATATGACAGTTTTTTGAATTATAAATAATAATTAAAAAAAAAAAAAAAGGAAATGAAGTAACTTGACGCGATGGCTAACGAGAGGGGTATAAAGTGTAAACACATCTGAAAACATGTACCGATCACTTCAATAATAATCAATTGTTCTTCTCCAACTTTTACTCTTTAAACAAGAAAATGAAACTTCTTGGTCTCTTCTTTCTTAGTTTTACTCTCTTGTTCCTTTGTCCGTTCATATCTCAAGCCGATGTGCCTGAACGTAGCCGCGAGCCGCCTCGTCCCATCGTCTTCGTCCATAATGACCGCTCCAAATCTGATCCGCAACAGGTTCTTTGATTTAATAACTCTATTTCTCAACAGCTTATTCCATCTTTGTGCAAAAGAATAGTATATGTCTATTGCGTCATAATTATTAGTGCTTATTGCTAATTAATCTACATATTTGATAAATTAAAGGTGCATATATCATTAGCGGGTAAGGACCACATGAGAGTAACATTCATAACGGAAGACAACAAGGTGGAGTCGGTGGTGGAATACGGTAAACAACCAGGAAAGTACGACGGAAAAGCCACCGGAGAATGCACTTCTTACAAATACATTTTCTACAAATCCGGAAAAATCCACCACGTCAAGATTGGACCTCTCCAACCCAACACCACTTACTACTACCGTTGTGGCGGAAACGGCCCTGAATTTTCTTTCAAGACCCCTCCGTCAACTTTTCCGGTCGAGTTCGCAATCGTAGGTAAACTTCCTAAGACTTGTATTTGAATTGGAGACTTTAGGAACTTTAGTTATCTTATGTTGGTTGAGTTTCATCTATAGATAATGAATTGTTGATGTTGAACCAAACGTACAAAACACTCAATCCATGACAAGTTGGGTTGGATCGGATTATTTTCACACCACTATACTATTTGTTGGGATAAAATTTTCATGTCAAATTAATGTAAGACTGGTTTTTTTATGTGATATTGAAGGCGACCTAGGCCAAACCGAATGGACAGCAGCAACATTATCTCAGATAAAGAGTCAAGACTACGACGTCTTTCTACTTCCTGGCGACCTCTCCTATGCTGACACTAGCCAGCCACTTTGGGACTCCTTTGGTCGCCTGGTGGAGCCACTCGCGAGCCATCGTCCTTGGATGGTTACTGAAGGAAACCACGAGATTGAGTTCTTCCCAATCTTTGAACACACAACCTTCAAGTCATACAATGCCCGGTGGCTCATGCCTCACACCGAGAGCCTCTCTGACTCCAACCTGTACTACTCTTTTGACGTAGCCGGTGTCCACACCGTTATGCTTGGTTCTTACACCGACTTTGATTCTGATTCTGATCAGTATCAATGGCTCCAGGCCGATCTAGCACAGGTTAGTTTTTGTAGATAATGCAACTTAAGTAACAGGCCCGTCTCTGGGGGGGGGTGGCAAACTAGGCAAATTAAATGCCTAGGGTCCATTTTCAATTTCATAAAATTTCTTAAGGTTAAAAGGCCCAATTTTTCCAAAAAAAAAAAATTTAGTAGGAGATTTTATTTTATTTTAAGTTTTGTCATGGGCCCGATAATGAATTGAGACGGGACTGCTTAAGTTGGAAAAATGCTTAACACATAATCATTTCATACCTTTCACACAAAAAAGATCGTTCTAAAGCTACTTTTTATATATATATATATATATTAAAACACACACCGCTTTCAAATTTTAGGTGATTTTTCAAAAAAAAAATCTACTTACAAAATTTAATCAAAGCTATTAATCTTAAGTTTAATTATCTAATATATTAAATAGAAACATATTGGTATATACATAAAACCTGATAGCCTGTGAAGAAGTTTCTTTCAAAAAAGTTTCAAGCATGCATTCTTTGTTAAGATGTTTGTTTATCAGTAAATATATTTTACATGAAAAAAGTCGAAAGGTTTTTTAACACAATGACCCATAAAATGTTACGTAAGAGTTCAATCTTGGGGTTTTTTTTGTATTGGAAAAAGGTTGACCGTAAAACGACGCCGTGGGTGGTGGTGTTGCTGCACGCTCCGTGGTACAACACGAACGAGGCACATGAAGGTGAAGGAGAGAGCATGAGGGTAGCTATGGAGTCTCTGCTCTTTAGTGCTCGAGTCGACGTCGTCTTTTCCGGCCATGTTCATGCCTACGAACGTTTCGTAAGCCCTCATCTTCGTTAATCTTTTTTTTTTTTTCTAATTGAAGATTTCATTAAATCATTATTGTACAATTTAATTAAGGATTAATTGATATCGAATTGATTGATGCAGAAACGTGTATATAACAACAAGGCCGACCCATGTGGGCCTATATACATTACCATCGGTGACGGAGGCAACCGAGAAGGCCTTGCTTTATCGTAAGTCACCTCCCATTAAACATCCAAATATATAATTTCATATTGTCCCACCAATCCAAAGGTTTTTTTAAATAAATTTGATCATTTAAATGAATTCAATAAATTGATTGCAATCTGTTTTTTCTTTTCTTATAATTTAAATCATAGGTTCAAGAAGCCTCCTTCACCTTTATCGGAATTTCGGGAATCGAGTTTTGGACACGGGAGATTGAAGGTTATGGACGGGAAACGAGCACATTGGTCATGGCATAGAAACAATGACTCGAACTCACTTCTTGCTGATGAATTCTGGCTTGAGAGTCTTAGCACATCATCGTCATGTTGGCCTTCGAGTCGTTCCAGTGATGAGCTCTAAATCATCATACCAAAAAACGTTTTATACTTCTTTTGTTCATTGGATCGCTCGTAGAATAGCAAGGATCCACAAATATCATTTTGTTACAAATTTTACTATTTTAGGCATTTCTTTATGTATTTAAGAATGTATTGGGAGTTTCTATTCAAGTACTGCGTGCATTTGTTTTAGGATCCAACATGGTTTAATTAGTTGTAGGACTTATGAATGTCTGTCTGATACACACTTACTTATTCGATCAATAAGAATTTCTCTCACTCAGTTAAATATTCTTTGTTTTCTTTGAACTTATTTGGAAAGGGGTACTGGGGAGGAGAGTGTATTCAATCAAACATTTAGAATAATTTTGTGTTAAAATAAAAATTTTCATGTATACAAATAATGTCTTCTATAAGACTATAACACATATTTATATGAAATATATATATATATGATTGTAGAATGTAAGAGTTAAAATTCTCTGTTAAAAGCAAGCTTCGTAATTTTAGATCTTGAATGAAAATTTGGTATATGCTGGGTTTTAGAGGTGGGCATTAAGAGTAATCTGCTCCGTTTTTTTTAAATCGTTATTTTTTTTTTATATGTACGTTCTGGAGCTTACCGGATATTTAGTCCAAACATGGATGTCCGCAACATTGAGAAAAATCCACTAAAAATATATAAAAGAAAAGAACTGGTAAAGTCTAATGTATAAGTACTATCGCATTATGTTGGATTGTACCAAACCACCCGTATGTGTTCTTGAGTCGTATTGCCCACCCACCAATCGACTTGGGAATTTAAAAGTGGACCAATTTCGTCCTTGTAGTATTCATTATTTTTCCATGACTTTCTTTATATTTTAACAAAATTAGATCCATACTCAGAGCACATTTGCCTCCTTGAAACTAGGCCTGCGAATTTAAACCGATCGGTTTATTCGGTTTCGGTTAGTCGGTTTTCCGGTTTATTCGGAAAATGAATTCTGTACCGAACTAACCGACTAACAATTTCGGTTCGGTTCGGTTATTTCACGGTTATTTCGGTTTTTGCCATTCGGTTTTTTCGGTTCATAATTGTTGGGCCAAAAGCTATTTTCTATTTGGGCTTCCACAAAATTGGTCTTTTGACCCAAAAAGAAAAAAAAAAAGAATTTGGGGTGGGAGAGAAAAAAGCCACGTTTGGTCTCTTGACCCACAAAAAAAAAAAAAGAATTTGGGCTGGGAGAGAAAAAAGTGACGTAGTGATGAATCGAGGAGTGGAGTCGTTGATCAGAGACACCGGCGGCGAAATCTCATGGGCGAAGATTCCGGTATAGAAGAAGAAAAAGATGATGTTGGTGTAATCGAAGAAGAAAATGATGAATCGAAGAAAAAGATGAGGAATCAAAGAAGAATATGATGAGATTAATCAAGAGAAGATGATGATGAAAAGACGAAGAAGAAGATGATGAGATTAATCGAAGAAGAAGAAGATGATGGTGATGATGAATAGCAGAAGAAGAGAGGAGATCTAATAATTGAAGAAGGGTTGTAGGCGGCTAGGAGTATATTAGGTTAGGGTTTTTATGTTTTCGGTTAACCGTTCGGTTCGGGCGAACCGAACCGAAAATCTCGGTTAACCGAACCAAATTTAAAACCATTCCGATCGGTTAAACCTAATTAACAGAAACCGAACCGATTCGCCCAAACCTCGGTTCGGTTCGGTTCGGACAAATCGGTTCGGTTCGAATTCCCAGGCCTACTTGAAACAATGTTACTAGATAGTCTTTTCATTTTATATCTTGTTTCTTCTTAGAAAAATAAAAATATATCCTTTCTTTTTTTTAGTATTTTACCAAACACTTATTTGGACAAATGTATTATTTTCCATTAAAATACTTATCAGGAAAAGAACAATAAAATAGTTTTATTTTTTTTGGGTCAAGCTTATTAAAATTACAAAAACCCTTCACATTTCTTATTTAATTTGTTTTTTTTTAATAAATAATAGGAAGATGAATAAAGCAGCTGCAACCTAATTAAACTTTTTTTTATAAACAAAATAATAACAAACAAACTGTGTGACTTGACGAGTTGTATAAACAAACCTCAAACATCCACCCATCTCTTCAATATTTGATCAATCCATCACATCTTCTTCTTCTCCATCATCTTCACCAACATCAACTCTTTGAACATGAAGATGATGAAAATCTTTGGTCTCTTAATTACCTTTTCTCTCTTTTTCCTCTCTCCGTTTGTATGTCAAGCTAACTATGATTCCAACTTCACCCGCCCGCCACCTCGCCCCCTCTTCATTGTCTCTCACGGGCGTCCAAAGTTCCATCCTCAACAGGTTCATTTACATCTCTTTCTCATTGCCCCACACGATTTTGAAAGCTAAACTTTTTTATAGTGAATGTGACATGCATGCATATACTCATTTAGTTTCTATTGGTTAAAGATGATCATCTAGTGGTTGCCACTTGTGGAGGAGTTGCCCTGTTGGTCTAGGCCAGGGATCGATTCCCCGCAAGCGCGCAATTGCTAGATCTCCACTTGGCCACTGCGCAATTTACCTGCGGGGCGCAGCGTCCCAGACCACCAGTTCCGGGGGGCCCTTAAGTGGAGGCTTAAAAATCCCAGGCACGCGGGCTTAGGCCCAGTGGGCTAGTCGGATCACTGTGTGGTCTGGACACTGGGTTATCAAAAAAAAGATGATCATCTATATATTAATATAGACATATATAGGTGCACATATCATTGGCGGGTAAAGACCACATGAGAGTAACATACACAACCGACGACATGCATGTGGCATCGATGGTGGAGTACGGTAAACATCCAAAAAAGTATGACAAGAAAACCGCCGGAGAATCTACTTCTTACAGATACTTCTTCTACAACTCTGGCAAGATCCACCATGTCAAGATTGGTCCTCTTCAACCCAACACCAAATACTATTACCGTTGTGGTGGTCACGGTGACGAATTTTCTTTCAAAACCCCTCCATCCAAATTTCCGATAGAATTCGCCGTCGCTGGTAATAGTCCGTTCTTTAACTCTCTTTTCTTCATTTTATCACTTTTTTGTCATTTATTGGGATTCAAGATTTTAACACTGATGGCTCCCTTTGGATGGAAGGTCTAATTGCCTATGAATTTTAGTCTTAGAGAGGGATGATAACTTTACATCTTAAGTCTTAACCATGTTATGGCAAAAAAATGTGAACATTGAAATATTGTGATAAGACAAAAGGGAGATAAATCATGAGCTTTCAATAACTCAAAACTAATTAAATAGAAAGATAAGTATTTTTCTTATTTTCGATTTGTGTGATTCGTTCATACTCTGTCTAAGCTTGTCCATCTTTTTCATTTTAGGTTTTCGATAAACGTCATGCTTAGTAAAATACTTAAAATTGGACTAAATATCTTTATGCAATAGCATGCAAACTGTGCAGGAAGTTACATGCATTCCACTTTTTATACATGTCCACAACTTTTTTTTTTTTTTTTTTTTTTTTTTTTTTTTTTTTTTTTTACATTTCCACAACTTTCCCGTTGGAGTTTGATTGTTCTGAAGTATACGCCAAAATCTCAAAGTTTTATAGTTTATATACACGTCTCATCATTTTATTTTATTTTTAATTATTATCGTCGGTTATCCATGCATGAATTGGTTCATAATCAATTACATGTTGATCCATAAAGTGAACACTAATGGCTTATTGTGGACATACGAAAAAACGGTATTTTATGTGAAATTGAAGGTGACCTAGGCCAAACCGATTGGACATTAAGCACATTAGATCAGATGAGGAAACGGGACTTCGATGTTTTCCTACTTCCCGGTGACCTCTCCTACGCAGACACCCACCAGCCACTTTGGGACTCCTTTGGCCGCCTCTTAGAGACTTTGGCTAGCACCCGCCCGTGGATGGTCACGGAGGGGAACCACGAGATCGAGTCTTTCCCCATCAATGACCACATAAGCTGTTAAATTTGGGCTAATTTTGGGCTTCCAACTAAAAACCAATTGGCAATTAGTGGATTGACCCTAACCCTTTATATATTATTGATTGTCCCATCAAACTTCCGATGTGGGACTTGGATTGTATCTCCAACAATCTCCCCTTCAATCCAAGAACCACATGGATCTTAACACACCTCCTCGATCCCTCACTCGGACCGATAATAAGCCCCTTTCTCGGGCCCCCATTACTCGGGTTTGAGGTATGTCCGTATCCACTTTTCTAGGTCCACCAGAATTTGAACCTTGGGCTCTGATACCATGTTAAATTTGGGCTAATTTTGGGCTTCCAACTAAAAACCAATTGGCAATTAGTGGATTGACCCTAACCCTTTATATATTATTGATTGTCCCATCAAACTTCCGATGTGGGACTTGGATTGTATCTCCAACATAAGCTTCACGTCATACAATGCGCGATGGCTCATGCCTCACGCTGAAAGCCTCTCTCACTCCAATCTTTACTATTCTTTTGATGTAGCAGGCGTCCACACGGTTATGCTTGGTTCTTACACCCCCTATGACTCCCACTCCGATCAGTATCAGTGGCTCCAAGCTGATTTAAGAAAGGTAACTAGTTGGGATATAAATTAAGAATTTGCACTATTAATTTATCACATTTCTAAGTTAGTCATTGCAAAATTTACATAGCGGAAACTACCACAAGACTAGTCTGGACTTTTACACGAGACATGTTTTAAAATTAAAAGTAGTTCAACTGTTCTATTAGTTCTTGAAAAGTATATAATTTTGTGTGTGAGGGAGGTTGACCGTAAAAAGACGCCATGGTTGGTGGTGGTTATGCACATGCCATGGTACAGTACAAACAAGGCGCATTATGGTGAAGGAGAGAAAATGAGAAATGCCCTGGAGAGTTTGCTCTATCGTGCCCAAGTAGACGTCGTTTTTGCCGGCCACGTTCATACCTATGAACGTTTCGTAAGTACCTCCCATCTTCATCAACCTTTCTTTAATTTAGTTTTACGTAATGAATTTATGATTCTGTTTAGTGATTGATCTTAGTGGTTTACTGTTTTAGAATTCATGTAAATTATACTTACATGCATATATAATAAATTTAAATTAAATTAAAATTACTCTTTTACTTTAATAATTGCAAATTATGGAAAAATGCAGAAGCCGATATACAACAAGAAGGCCGACCCATGTGGACCAATGTACATAACCATCGGTGACGGTGGCAACCGAGAAGGCCTTGCTTTACGGTATGTCACCTTCGATTAGGCCATTACTAATCTAATTAATATGTTTTTCACCCAATTAAATTGTTTTGTTTGTTTGTAATTTTTTTTTTGGTTATTTAACTGAATTGTATAAGCAAACTAAAATTTCAGGTTCAATAAGCCTCAGTCACCTTTGTCGGTATTCCGTGAATCGAGTTTTGGGCATGGGAGATTAAGGATTATAGACCATAAACGAGCACATTGGTCGTGGCATAGAAACAACGACGAGATGTCATTTATTGCCGATGAAGTATCGTTCGAAAGCCCTAGAGCATCATCACATTGTCGTTCAAATCGTTTTAGAGGTGAGATCTAATTCACCATATCATTAAACATTTTAAGCTCTTTTTCCCTCTTATGTTTTGTAGAAAATTAACTCAAAAAGTAAATTCATATAAATCTTTTAATTAATGAATAATTGAAAAAGAAACTATATTAAATTGTTACAAATTCCAATTTTTTTTTGCGGATACCCAAACTTTTGAGTCATATACTTTTCCTAAAATATATATGTAGCCATTTTTGATACTACTTGTTGAACTTCCCTGCACCGTGCGAGACGAACTAAATTCGTTGGTTAATTCATCATTATTGAGTCTTAACCACCTAATGCTCATTCTAGGTGGAACCATCTAATTAAAAATAGTGTAATTAAAGACTTGTAATTGTCAGCCTTCTTCAACACATTCCACATCCATATCAAATCATAATATTCAAGAGTGTATAAAAAGTCCAAATCCTATTGACGGAAATTTATAACTTTTATGATTTTTCTGAATAGACTTTGTACACGCAAAAGCCACACAATAATAGTAATAATAAGCCGGAATTTTAAAAAAGAAAAAGCCAACGCGAATAATCTTATTTCTTTCCGAAGGAAAAAAGAAAATAAAATTAAAGGAAAATGAAGAAGAAAGCGAAAGCATCTCCATCCTAAAACCACGTGACACGTGTCCCTTTGATAAATACATAATCAATCTTTTACAATAATAAACCATTTGATCCAACGGCTGAGATCAAATCGACACCATCCGTATTTCTCGGGGGACGACGGAGGACACACATACGCGTAGAAATTGAAGACTTACGAAGAAAAGTCAACGCATCGAACGGCTCTGATCAAATCTTCTGAAGCTTCGCTGCTTTCACCAACGGATTCGCTTTCGCGATCTCTTCACGACCGGCCGATTTGAAATCGTAGCTGCATCCATGGATCTCCGGGTACCTATGGACCCCACAAAACATCGTACCACACCGGCACTTGAATCCGGTTAACCCGACCCGTTTCCTACACGTCGTGCACCGATTCGGCCTCTGTTGCTGGTTCTGCTCCGGCGGCGAATTCACCGGCTTTTTCTCCGGTACATCTAGCTTGACGGAGGGAGTTTTAACGAGAGGAGGGATGATCGGAGAAGAGATGGAAGCGATCTCCGATGATGACGACGGAGGAGATACAGAGAGAGAAGATTCGACGGTGGATTTGATGGAGGATTGTTGTTGTTGTTTGAGACAGAGATCACCGTAGCAATTAGAACAGAGATTCATGGTGGCGGAGCTGCCGAGGAAACCACAGTTGTTAACACAGAGACGGTTGCTTTCTGGTGTCTGACATCGATGTTCTTCCGCCATAGATCTTGAAGAAGAATAAAGTTTGAGAATTTATCGATCAACCTCGTTGAAAAAAATCTGTAAAGTACCAACAACAAAAAGAAAAGATTCATTAATAAGGGAACAATAACAATAACAAAAGATTGTGTTAAAAAGAAAACAAAACACGAACCAATTCTGGTCACCGAGAGAAAAGAAAAACAGAGATCGGAAAATTTCCTCTGTTTTTTTCTCGGCAACCAAAAGAAGAACAAAAAAACCAGAAATGAAAAAAGGAAGAGTTTTTTTTTTATTAAAAGAGAGAAGAGAGAGGAGAGAAAAAGAAGGAGAAGGGGAGAGAGATTGTTGAGTTTTACCTGTTCTTGAGAGAAGGAAGAAGAAGATTCAGTGATCGATGAGAGAATTGGGAAGAGGAAAAAGAGATATAACAGAGAGAGCGTGAAGGAAAGAGAAAGAGAGAAGAAGAAGGAAACAACGGCGAAAACAGAGACGACGCTGCTGAAAAATTAAATAGCCAAAATTATTAACGGTATTTTAATTTCCTGTTTTCTTCAATTATTTTGCTTATTATGTTAATTTAACGAAATGTAATCTAATTAGTGGTTACAAAACACGTAATGAAAACACTATTCGTTGATCAAATCTTTATATATTTTGATTAAATGTCGTCATGGTGGTGTCACTTATTTGATTTATATAGTATATTTTGATTTTTTTATTACAAAACATAAAGTCTTTTCCTTACCAGAAAAAGAAAATTATTATTATATGGGTCAAACTTCGGACCGTGTGAGATAAAATTCATAACGTGTTTGATACCTTGTAAGAAGAGAACCACTTGATATCTTTCTTTTTTTGTCAACTTGGGATTTAAATCTACCAATCGTCTCTATTAGATTTTTCTAAGGATTAAAATTTGGACGGTTCAAGTAAGATTATGATCATGTGTTAAGGAATTATAAAACTTCTAATAATGATCAATTTGATACTTGAAGTGGGGAAATGATGTACGCAAACCGTTTGATTGGGTTTGGTTTAGGATTAGAATAACCCAAAGATATTGTTAAGAATCCTATACTATTATTTGGGGAGTACAATTTATGGATTACCCTTAATTAACCTTTCCCTTTGTAAGAATTTACTTAAGAATGCCATTAGAAATAAAATTTTATAGAGTAAATTAATTCAACTCATTAAGGATAAACAAGTCAAATACTATTTTATGCAATTTAATTAATTTAATTTAATTATAAAAACGAAAATCTATTATTAATTTCTTTAAAAAGAATGACCAATCAAAATGAACATATAAGATTTGATATCTAACTTACCATATTAATTTGTTATTAATCATTATACTTCACCTCTCATCTTTATATGATTCTATTTCTATAAATAAATAAATCATTATATCATCTATATAATAAAAAAAAAAGTAAATTTTTTTCCGCATATACCAAGATTTGAATTTTTAAAAACGAATATAAATTATTCAATGTATGAAAGAACAAATTTAACGGGTCAAAAATTCATATTTAAGTAATATATTCCTTTTTTTTTAATATCATCAATACTTAATAGATCAAAAATTTATGAAGTATAAATACTCTAATTTGATTTTTTGAAACAAATATTTATAATAGGCGGCGGGTTGAATATAATATATTATATGATGAAATGAGTTATGATCCTTATAACTATTTGAATATTTATATTTAATTTCATATCATTTTTTTTAAATTCATAATTTTACATAATACAATAAAAAATTTTAAAGATATTAATTTGGATCATTTTAAAATAGTTTAATTTAATATATTAAAGAATATCTTAAATATTTAATAGATTGCAAAGATAAAAAAAAATTATAAATACATTAATTTGATTTTCTAAAAAGATATGTTTAATATATTTATAGTAGGCGGCGGGTTAAATGTAATGTATTATATGGTAGAAAGTTATGATCCTTATAACAGACGGCATTTTAAGATTTTATGATGAGATGAGTTAAATAAGGTTTGACACTTCTAAATATTTGAAAATTTGATTCTGCAAGCAATTTTGAAAATAATAAATAATGGATTGTGGCGCAATATTTTCATACGGATTGTAAAATGAAAATATAGAATCCACACACGGATTGAATTTGGTATTATTATATACCAAATATATGTTCATAACATATTTGATTATGTGAATAATTGGTAAATTCCGTAATTAGCTCAAACAGATCTCTATTTCAACAACCAATGAATCAGAATTTGAAAAAATAATTTTCTAAATTAATTCAAAATAATAGCTAATTTTCTTAAGTAATTCAAAATAATCTACGTTTTAGATGCGATTCATTTATGATATTTTGATTTTTGATCTAACTAAATTATATGCACTCTCATTTTGTGGTTGTTAACATAAATTAACTCATTGTTCAAACAATATTAATTTTTTTAAAAAATAATCTTATTTTCTGTTTTCATATCTTAAAAAAAAATATCCATAATTGAATACTATAGAAAAAGGAAAATATATTCATTCTAATATTATATATAGGGACTGACAAAAAAATATTATTTTTTCACTTACTATTATAATATATCACAACTTTATTCTAAAACATAAAATTTATAAATTTTGTAATAAATGAAATTCAACCCGTACGACAGTACGGGTGATGATCTAGTGTTTATTAGTAGGGGAACAATAATTTGTCATCTGACTTTAATTTTTAAATTATTTTTCATTAGGTGAAGCAAAACCATATGTTTTCGGAATGTGATGCATGAGAGTAATTAATTGGTTTTACAAATTCAAACTTATTTCGTGATACATGTAACCAGAAACATTCGTTTTGACAATTTTTAACAAACACAGAATTGATAGGCTTAGTTTATCTAACCTTTTTTTTTTGTTCAAAAGTTTATTTAACTTTTCTAAGATGCATCAATTGTGTACACTGTTTTATTCTCAAATCACATTTTAAATCTGTTTCATAATAAAATTAGAACTCACTTACAGCTCAAATCTAAACTAAAAGGATAAAACAATCCGGATTAAACATGTAACTTATCAAAAATAACAACGTCTTTTAACTATTTTTTAAATTCTTTTTTAGTGAGATTTCAAACTTTATTTTAAGTGTTTATTTTTTAGATATTTTATTTTATTGTTTAGTCTTTTCCATACTGGTCAGATCGAATAAATTTTAATAATAGAAATTTAATATGAAATTCGAAGTCACTTGTATTTCTATAAGTCGTGTTATCACCATTGGTAGAGTTCCCTTTTGATGACGCTGCCACAACAAGAGCAAGTTTAAGTACGATTAATTAATAAAGGAGATGTTACTAGAAAAAAGTGTATATCAAGAAAAGGAGAATGGGAAATAATGAACATATAATTAAAAATTTGCAACTATCAAAAACGAGTGACGATAAGTGAAGATACGAGTGACGGGCAAGTGGAGGCATGACACGAGGAAATACAACATGAGGATTGAGGAGTAACAACGAAGCGATATTAAAGAAAAACCAACATTCAAAACCGATTTTATTAATTACTATATATTTTTAAAAATATGAAAAATGTTAGAATATTTCAAAGGTTCCAAAACTATTACTAAAGAGATTTAAGAATGGTTCTAAACTTCTCAGAATAACTTCTAAATTGGTTATAGACATAATTGAAAAAGTCTCCAAAAGACTTTATAAACATTGTGGACGAATAAAAAAGTTTGTGATATTCTAAGACTTTTTAGGGCATATGCAAGGGTGCATCTTTGAAGATTGATCTTAAGGGAGAAAAAATATTAATAATGTAAGAGGAAAGAGAAGGAAAGAAATAAAAGCCTAGATTTTTTCCATTTCCACATCTCCTGACCAATGACGGCCTGCCACGTACACAAGAACATGGCTCCGAACTGTTCTCGCAGGAGAACGCGTTCCTAGCCCAAACCCAACTTTTGATCAGTTTTAATTTTTAGAAACTCTTAGAACAGGGCCATAGTTGCCCCGATAAATATGGTCTTATAAGCTTTAACAGTTTCAATTTTGTACTTACTATAATTTTAATGTAATTAGGGAATTACAAAAAATGTGTGTAAAGATAAAGATATGAAAAAACAGGCTGGAAGAGGAGGAGCCAAAATGGAAGTCCACCAGCCTTTTTCAGTTTTTCTCTTTATCCCAATAGTACACTCTCACTATCTTATCTTTCAATAGATTAACTAATGTACTATCAACACGTGCCATTAATTATCTTTCGTGCTATGGGAAACAAATTATATATTGGGAATAGTTGGGCAAGAAAACATATTTTAAGCATATACTTGATTAGAATCTTCACAGAAGATTGACGAAATATTGTGGAAGAGTTACGAATATAGATGCCGTAAAAAGAAAAAGAACAAAGAAACAACGATGGAAGAAAAGAAAGGAAGAACAAGCATAGCTTATCACTTTGCCAATTATCAAAAAAAAAAGTATAGCTTATCATATATTAGATGATCCAATAAGATTTTATTATATTTCTATGAGTCTATGATAGGTTTCTCTCTAAAGTTTAGAATTAGTTGCAAAAAGCTTTCACCTTCTTTCAATATTGGTTAGAAAAAATTGAATCTCACTAAAACCAAAAAATAAATATCAAACAATATTTTTTGCATCTTTAGGCTTCATTGGGCTTGGCCCATGGGTCTTGAGGATGGTATTTTATTCAGAATGGATATTTAATTGATTGTGAACCTCATCGGTCCATATGTGATCTTTAGCAAATTATTATTTTCTTAACCTAAAGTGAATTTAAGAGTTATTGACCCATAATATTTAATTTTTTTTTATAAAGTGAATTTCAGAGTTATTTACCCATAAAAAATATTTGATTTGAAAGAAGGAAATATTAAGTAAAAAATTATGTGTGTAAAAAAATTAAATCTCCAAAATTCTCTTAAAAGAATGGAAATCTTTGCTTTAAGTATATTAATAAATTGTTATTTCGAATAGGGAAAATATCACATACTATATATATATATATATATACATAGTGATTGAAGTGTGGTAAATTTTCATATCATTCAAATGTAAATACTTTGACAGATATACAATATATATATATATATATATATATATATATATGAGTGTTTTTTAGAAAAGGGAAATATGGTTTGTAATCCTCTTTATCTTTTATTATTATTATTTCCATTTCTTTATATACAGTATGTTTTATCATTCTCCTATCATTATATTTTTATTATTTTGACACATAACTTACATTTTTAAAATATAACATCATATATATATATATATATATATATATATATTATAAGTTATTATTTTCTAGTAGTTAAAAGTTGAATGGAAAAGGATTCAAAGACAAGTGACCTAACACAAAAAGAACCTGCAACATTAATTATCAACCGTTTCAACTCCCGCCAATATTCACACCAACTCCAACAACAACGATATCTTTCATAATCAACTTAATCCATACACGCATCTAATACATATATTTCAATCCACAAAACACTTTTCCTATAATCACCTCATAAACAAAATCCCAAAATATAATTCAGAATGGGTAAGAGTTCTTCCATGGCAGTGGCAGAGAAGATCTCTTGGTATTGTGCAGTGTTTGCCGCCATGATGCTGCTGATGAACTCCTTCCAGGTGGCAGAGGAGGGTTCCACGGAGATCGTGGAGCAACAACAGCCGTCTATGATGATCACCGGATATTCTGATCGACGGCCAGCATGCGATGAAATATACGAAGTGAAAGAAGGAGAGACATTGCAGACGATAAGTGAGAAGTGTGGAGATCCTTATATTGTTGAAGGGAATCCTCATATACATGACCACGATGATCTTTTCCCGGGTCTTCTCATTAGAATCACTCCTTCATTTTAATCTCAAGTGATTATGTATAAATTGTTATGAATGAGTTTTTCTTTTTACGTACGTGTGATTGTGAAATAATACATAACCGCTCTGAACGTGAATGACTATATTAGCAGTACGTAGTATAACATATAATTATTAGTTTGGAGACCAAAAAAAAAATGAAGTAAAACTCGGATTAGGCTATATATCTAGCTAAGCCTAATCTAATAGTGAAACCCAAAAAAAAAAATCATAGTATAACTACTAATATAGTCATTGAAGACTATATTATAAAATCATAGTACTAGTAAACTTTGTGAAACGTAAAATTGAAAACAGTCTAGAAGAAAAACATACAAGGAAAAAGTGTAGGTCGAGAAGTTGCAAAAACGTAACTATGATTAACACGCATCATAGTTGAGTAAGTTATTATACAGTATGTTTGGAGGATTAGTTATAAAAATGATATCCAATATATAATTGGTGGAGTGGAGGAAAAATATGACGTAGCTTATATTAGTCTTGCTCTTGCACAATTCCAAAAATCGGGAAAGATATATCATATATGCGAATAGCTCCATTATGGAAGATAAGTTGATATCTCTAAATTGTTTGGTTTGAATTACCCTGTGTCATTTTAAATGTGTGGTAATTTAGGTCTCAGTACTAGCTATCCTTGATATATAAAATATTGATCGTAGATTTTGAAACTCTAATTTCTATATATATATATATATATATATATATACAAGTAGTAGCATAACTATATCATATATATATATATATATGATCTCATGCAATTTTAAGTATGTGTTTGCGATTTCTAATCGATCTTGCACATCAAAATTAGTTCTTGAATTTATATGTTGACAAGATTGCTAATCACCGTTTATTATATTTTTTTATATAAAAAACATTTTTTATTTGTTCCTAATGTGATTTTTCCCTATGTTTTATAAAAATTTCTCTTAGTTCCATTTCAAAAATCAAAGAAATATGATTATATATATATATATATATATATATATATATATATATATTCCAGTAAGAACTTTAATATTTTTTCAACTAAGAAAAATAACAAACATAAAACATTGTGTTTTTGATTTATCTACATGTTTTCTTAGTTTAATCATTTTGTAAAATTATATATTATATATTAGATACTGAAGAAAATTGATTTTAATAGATAACTTACAAGCATAAAATCTGGTGCTTTGTAAAGTTTAATGTTAGTCATTATTCCACTAATTTAAAATATTTATTAACTAAATGATTTGCTTGTATATATGACTATTTAAAATCTTAGGATATATTACTTAATTCTCTTAGTCTTGATCTATATTAATTTCATTTGCATGGTTTTAATAGATATTTTTATTTAAAGTTATTGAATTACAATGGACCATGTTTGCATCTACATTTTATCACTATATAGTACTCTTTCTATTCCTAAAAGATTGATGTTTTAGATTTCTCACACATATTAAAAATAATAATGTTTTATTAATTAAATTAAAATTACTTTATGTTGAAAGAGAAAGTACTATAAACCCATAATTACCATGACATGTGGCAAAAAGCATAAAGTAAAAAAATTATTTCAGTTTTTTAATCTAAAAAAATAACTTTTTAGAAACAAGTTAAAAACTTAAAACATCAATATGTTAGGAACAAAAATAGTATATACTAAATTTTGGGTCTATATTTATTACTCTTAGAATCATTTTTTTACAAAGTCAATCTGAATGTCTTTAAGATTCACCAAAAAAAAAATCTAAATGTCTTTAAGAAAATAATTTGTTATAGAAGACAAGACATTGTTTTACTAGATAATCTAACAAAGCACATATCTCATGACTTTTCTTTTTGAACACATATAACTTTTATATATGGTATATAAAGATCAATATTTTTTGCCCGTGTAAAACATTTTAGATATGCCGCTCTCGAATATACTAAGATACATAATTATTATTTTAACAAGATACATAATTATTCCCATGCAGGTTTTGAACATGCGACCTTCGCGTTATTTGCAATTGCTAGCACAGATTTTTTTTTTATAATTGATGAGTTAATGGAAAAGTACCAAATAATTAGTTAATTTTTGGTCAAATACATTTTCCAATTTTACAAGTTTCCAAAACGAAAACAAAAAGAAAGGGGAAGGATTTACTATATAACACGATATCTCTTCATTCTTTTTCTAAATCTCCTTTTTGTCTTCCTCTCTCTCCCTCGCCAGAATGGTGAAGGTTTTGGGTTCAGTGGCGATATTGCTTATTGTTTTGGCCAGAACTGTGTTGTCTTATGATCGGCCCGGTACTCGGAAAAATTTAGTGATCCATCCGTCTAACGAAGATGATCCTACGTCCCCCGATCAGGTAATATTTACATTTAAATCTATATTTTTGATTATATATCATAGATATTGGATTCTGTATCATTTATGTAAATCCTTTTGAGTAGAATTTTGACACGGCAAGTCTTTATATCTTCTGTCTTTCACACAATTGATATGTGTTAGTTTTCAAACATAAGCAGGAGATTTAAGTTTTCCCATAATATTACGAATATTAAGAAAAACTAGGATCTTCTTCGCCTCCTCGGCTTATTCGATTCAATAGTTTTGTCTCTTAAAATTTTTTGATGGTAAAAATTTAACAAACCAAAAAACTGTTAAATGATCCGTTAAAATTCTTTCTCGTGTACTAGGTTACGTTACGGAAGCATTGCCATAATTAGGGGTGATTTTACAATCTACACCTATGTATACACTGTATTACACATGTTATTTGAAACGACACTGTACTCGCACATTTCTTAATTACGAAACGTTGAATGGAGACATTATGAGGACATTTTTTTTAAAAAAAATTGTATTAGCATTTTCAAAATTTGAGATAGATAGTTAATGATAACTGTTTAAGGAAACATCCCCTCTAGTCTCTAGATAATCTATTCAGAATCCTTAAAAATTAAAAATTAAAAGATTTTTTCTAAGTTTGATAAAATCTTGTTTCCACAGTAGTCAAAAACAGTTTAAGTTGCAAATAAGTCAGAGATTCGCAACGTGAGTGTGACATGTGACTTATTTCCATATCAGAACGTGTCTAATGAAAGCACGGCAAATTCACCCACTTTGTCTTCTTTCTGTTAGATCTTTCGTCACTCATCTGTTTTGCTTGTACGCTTTGTCTTTTTTTTTTTCTTTTATTAATTTGTTTTCCTAAGTTACTTATGAATTTGCGACGTTTAAATTCAGGTGCATATATCTTTGGTTGGGCCGGACAAAATGAGAATATCATGGATAACGCAAGGCTCAATCATGCCACTGTTGTATATGGCACAGTCTCCGGAAAATACGAAAGCTCGGCTAATGGAACGTCGTCGACATACCACTACTTGTTGATTTACCGATCGGGTCAAATTCATGACGTGGTTATAGGCCCATTAAAGCCCAATACTGTTTACTATTACAAATGTGGAGGCCCAAATTCAACTCAAGAGTTCAGCTTCAGGACTCCTCCCTCCAAATTCCCAATCAAATTTGCCGTGTCCGGTACACATTTCATGTTTCCTCTTTCCTCATATAAACTCTTTAGATTGTCATTTTTAAGTATAGATTTATGTCATCATGGTCTTGTAGCTTTATTTGTTATTTTGTTGATAATTCTTAACAATTTGATTAAAAATGAAGGTGACCTTGGGACATCTGAATGGACTAAATCAACATTGGAACATGTATCAAAATGGGATCATGATGTTTTCATCTTGCCTGGTGATCTGTCATACGCTAACTCGTACCAACCGTTGTGGGACACTTTTGGTCGCTTGGTGCAGCCACTTGCGAGCAAAAGACCTTGGATGGTCACTCATGGCAACCACGAGCTCGAGAAAATACCTATCTTACACCATCACCCTTTCACTGCCTATAACCAGAGGTAAGTTATTTCGATTCATCAATCCAACAACCAAACCTACTTTTCTTTTTAAGCTTGCCAAACCTTATTTATTTGTTATTTCATATACATTTTGGTTATAAATTGAGTTGATGAAAAAGGGGTTATGTTATGCTAATTTTGGATATTTTTGTTTACACGTGACAGGTGGCGCATGCCATTTGAAGAGAGTGGCTCGACCTCGAATTTGTACTATTCCTTCAACGTTTATGGAGTCCACATTATTATGTTGGGGTCATACACAGATTTCGAGCCTGGCTCGGAGCAATACCAATGGTTAGAAAATAATCTCAAAAAAATTGACCGTAAGACCACACCGTGGGTTGTGGCTGTGGTGCATGCGCCTTGGTACAACTCCAACGAAGCTCACCAAGGAGAGAAAGAGAGTGTGAAGATGAAAGAATCCATGGAAACTCTTCTTTATAAAGCACGCGTCGATTTGGTATTTGCCGGTCACGTCCATGCTTACGAGCGTTTTGTAAGTCTGAAGGGTTTCATTTTCTTATTTTTTAAAGAATTATTTATTTTGGATATATATAGAACTAATTTGTGGATTTATTTGACAGAGTCGAGTGTACCAAGATAAGTTCGACAAATGTGGTCCGGTTTATATTAACATCGGGGATGGTGGCAATCTAGAAGGCCTTGCTAGAAAGTAAGATCTTAGTTAAATGAGTTTTCTTTAGAAGTCTTGTGAAATTAATTAAAAGTTAATGTTTTTGATGATGTTTTATAAATCGTAGGTATAAAGATCCAAATCTCGAAATATCAATGTTTAGAGAAGCAAATTTCGGGCATGGTCAATTGGTGGTCGAGAATGCGACTCATGCACATTGGGAATGGCAGAGGAACGACGATGAAGTGTCGGTACAAAAGGATTCGGTTTGGCTAACCAGTCTCTTAGCCGATTCATCTTGTAAGATTTAGACCGCCGCGGTTCGTGTTCTTGAATGTTGTTAGGACTTGTGCGGTGTGCCTCATCATTGATTATATATGTTATTATGTTAAATGTCGATGTAGAATCGAAGATACTAGAGTACTTATATATACTATTGAGTATTGACAACAATATCAAAACATGAATACATGATACACAAATGTTTTGATTATAACTCATTTATATTTATATTTTCTTGGTTGCTTTTCAACTTTTCAGATCCTTATCACTTTTTATGCATACTGCTAATTCATATCATTATCAAACTGGATTTGCTTGTTGAATCGTGAGCGTCCATATTTATCCGTATTTAGCTGACAATTACTTCTGTAGCAGTCCTTTTTTTTCTTTTTTTTTTTTGTTGTCAAACAACTGCAGTAGTGGATCTAACCATATTATATGTATGTATATATCTATAATTTATGGACTATATTCCTTTGTTCAAGCTCTTTTTCCCGGAATTTTTTATTAATAGATTACGTTTAAAAGTTAAAATGTGCAATGATAATGTTTGCATGCAGTCTAATATGAACGCACTTTAAACCTTATGAAGGAGACCCCGATAAAACAAATAAAGTTCAAAAGACAAAAGGTTAGATTGGCAAATGGAAAAAAATAATTAAAATTTCCAATTAACAAAAGCGAAATATGGTTTCTCCGAATTGAAATATATTTTTCTTTACCAAACACTTACTACATTCATAGGGGGTAACCAAAACAGAATATTTGAATATTTTAGATTTTTGAAATTTAAATGATAAAGAAGTAACTTAAATTATAGTTTAAATTTAGATTATGGAGCAAGAGAACAAATGGTTTGTTTAGAAACAAGTACAATAAACACTCGTTTGGATACGAGTTGGATACATATATCCTAAATTTTTGGTATATAATCAATAATCATTACTATTTAGACATTCGAATTTTCTAGTGTTTCATTTAATTATTTTGATTTTTTCAACTCTTTTGGGTTGTGAAAAATTGGTCCGAAAGGGTTATATATAACCAAATCAATCCGATAACCAATATTTTTATAAAATCAAATTTTCATTTTGTAAATAAACCGACACCAAACCAAATTGTAAAACTTAGACCAAAGCAATGAGGGACAGAAACGCCATTGCACATGCCACAGCAAGAAATGAAGCTCTCCACACCTTTAAAATCATTGCCTTTGGTGTAAGCAAGTGCACCCACTCTTTAGTTCCATTTCAAGACACACCTACCTAATACTAATTGTGTTTCAGTTTTGTTTAACTTCTAAAATCAACATATTTACAAATCTTTTTGTAAAAAAAAAACAATTTCTCACATTTATTCCGTGAAAGAAGGTTAAAAGAATCCGTACAAGATATATATACACAAGCAAATTAAAGTAGTTTTAAATAAACGTGAAATTGTAGTCATCTTCTTTTTAAGGGTGGTAAATTATGGGCAAACGAACGAGTTATAAACGGAGGCATGTGAAGTTACGAAAAGAAAAAAGAGAGTCATAAATACATCCAAAAACAACCACCTCACTGTTTATGATGTTTCACGTTCTACAACACTTATGATCCATGATTATTTTTTGTAGGTTTTTACGGCTCCAAAGTCCAAACACTCTTCTTCTTCATTATTATTCTCTTTCTTTTTTTCTCCCATCATAATTATATCAAATCTTTATCTAAATAAGGAATGCTGAGACAATATAAGAGGAAAAAAAGAAATTTGCATTTTGAAATTGGGGTATACTACGAATGGTTTACAAAATAAGTAAAAAAAATTTAACAGCACACAAAGGAAACTGTTTGTAATCGAAAACATAATTATGGTGGAGTGTAATATTGAACTAAACCAATATTGAGCAAACCGGGACATAAGTTGAGGAAAGAGAGCATTTAAAAATGGTCCAAAACGGTTGAAATTGAATCATGAAGGATGATGGTTCGAACCAATCTTTACCATCATTGCGAATCTTTAGAGGTCGATGGCCTCTTCTACTAATATAGCCCTCTCATAATCCTGTAAAATGACAATAATACCCTTCTCTGACCACTTCCACCACAATTACCTAAATACCCTCGCTCTAGTTCTGTGAACCGAATCTTCTGTTTAGAGGACGAATACGATGAAGAGCCACGAGAAGGGTTTAGGGGACCTTGGGAATTACGAAAATATCCCTAAAGATCAATTTCGAAAGAAGAGCAAGCAAGAAAACTCTTTTTTTTTTCTTCTCTCTCTAACTTCTTTCTCTTTAATATATCATCATCATTCACATGACGCAATATGCACAAATCTCCTCTCTCTCTCTCTCTTCTCGCGGCCGCCATCTATGCAGAAACACAACACAATGCATGATTGTTGTGTCAGGAGAGAGAAGGTTCTTTCTCTCTTTCTTTAGCTTTTGGGGATCTATATAACAGACAGTGTCTCACTTTGTTCTCTTTGTCCCTCTACCTTCTACACACACAAAGTAGCGTCTCTCTTCTCTCTTCTCTCTTCTCTCTTCTCTCTCTCAATCTTCTTCGTTAACTCTGCTTCTCAACACTCCTTCCCAAAAGGTATAACCTTTCTTCTCCTTCTCTCTCTCACTCTCTTTGTGTTCTAGAAGCTTTACGTGAGTTCTCTTACAAAAATGATTTACCATAAGATATGGTTACATGCTCTGTTTCTGTTTCTTGCTCTGTTTCTAATTTTCTATTGCTTTTGCGTTCATACGTTAAGACAATAGTTATGTAGTAACGTTACACGTACAACTAACGTGAAGACAAACCCTTGATTTCTTTCCTTATTTTATGTGCTAAAACTTTTTTTTATCTTTAATATTTTCCACAATGATGGAAAGTTTTAAGCGAATCTTTATCCTTTTCTTTGAGACAAGGGCAACCGAAATAAAGAAAAATTTGTTTGATATTTTCTTTTATGGTTTGTATTGCTACGATCACCATCTTTGTTTTGTTGCTTACTCTGTTTTTTACTAGCGTTTCACATATAATCATTACTCTCTCTGTCCATAGAGGTTAAAACATTTATAATTACTGCATATCATCATGATTACTTGTTTTTATCTCTTTTCTTCACTCTCTTTCTTTCTTTCATAGCTTTATCTTTTTATGCTCCATACAAATTTATAATCATGTTCTTCTCTCTTTGATCATTGATTTCATAAAAAGAAGAAAAAAAAATTCACATGAAAACGAAATAAATGCGACAAATAATTTTCCCTAATGTAATTCACATCCGACGTGTGAAGCTGCACAACCCATGTGTGATGTAATGATTTAACATGAATAATAATCATAACACAAGCTTTGGTTTTATTGATATTATTATTACTCTCTTTTTTCTCTTTTATTTTCAAATTCTTACAATAATTTTGCTTTTCTTCTTGTAGCAAGAAAGCAAAAATGGAGAGGCTAAACTCGAAGCTGTACGTAGAAAACTGTTACATAATGAAAGAGAACGAGAGGCTAAGGAAGAAAGCTGAGCTTCTGAATCAAGAGAATCAACAGCTTTTGTTTCAACTCAAGCAAAAACTCTCCAAAACTAAGAACCCGAACAATGGATCAAACAATGACAACAAATCAAGCTCTGCTTCTGGACAATCTTGATTTAAAATCAAGAAGACTTGTTAGAGCAAAAGATCTGGAATCCGTAGAAAAAAAGAAGACCCAACCTTTTGGAATTATTTTCATTTTGTTTGGTGTAATGTAGGCAGATAACTAGTATCCAGTACTGTAGTAGTTATTATGAAAAGAAGATTCTGTTTTATTACAAGAAGACAGTGTCTCTCTGTTAGTCTTCTCAGTCATATTTTTTACTTTTGTTTCTATTTTCTATGTTAATTAAAGATCTTCTTGTGTGGGGTTGGGACTTTAGGATATGGTTGATTCTTGGACTAACATTTTGTACCTTTGCTCTATTTATCAAATATTGTCAAGTGCATATCAATCAATTAATAATGTATCGTATGGGGACAAGTTATTCAATTTCTTTTATAACCATGAACAGAAAACATTCAATATAGAACTACATCATTTGGCCAAAGCCGTCTTTAGCAAAAGCAAAGGAGGAATGATCTACGAATTAGAAATATTTGACCATTTTGCCCAATGAAAATTAAATCGTTGAATAGATACTAATTCAGCAAACATTACTTATGTATAATTAGGTTTAAGTAATTTAAGGATACTAGAGGAAATGAGGAAGAAAACAACTTCAATAGTAGTGTTGTGTTTTGGCAAGTTCAAGTCACGTGATGAAAGTTTTATCCTAACATCCTAAATTGAAATGATTTAATTATTATGCCATGTGCCTCTGGACATTTTAATTATTATGGTTCAAACCAGTTGTTGATAATATTGGTCATGAAAATCATTATCATCAACAACAGTTAATACTGGATAAAAACCTCAGATTGGATAATATCAAAATCGATGATAGGTCATCTACAATTTACACATACATATACTGGGGTTTGAATATGAAAAAAGTTATGTAAAAACTAATTTATTTTCCCAATATTCATTTGGAATATCGATTTTATAATTATAAAATAAAAGAAAAAGGAGGGCACAAGGTGTCATGTGAGATTCAAGCGGCTCTGTGCAGAGAGATGAGACAAGGGGCTTTTCATTCGGATTCTACGTGACGTCATCACACACCCTACAATTTTATTAGTCAAAAAACTATTCATTCTCGTTTGAAAACTAATAAAACTACGAGTTCTCTGCTCTTATTTGACTTCTGTTTTTTCTACTCCTACTTCCTAAACATCAAGTCACAGCATTTCACCTTAAAAAAAGAAAAAAATAATTCTTCACATTTCATCAAAATCTTTAGTATTTTCAAATTGGACTACCATAATTTGGTTTCTAAACCTTTTATAATGACACTAAATTCTTTATATAAGTTGAAGGCAAAATCAAAACTATGTTTCCCATTAATTAGTTTATTTACTTAGATCTTACCAGTGGATGTACTACATCTATAACCTTGTAAATCTAAGATACAATACTTTAAATGCAGTTGGCTTGTTTGTTTGGCAGTGAACATATTTGGCATTTATCTTGTTTCCGGCTCTCCGCTAGTTTGTTTCTTATGAATTATGAAAATATAAGTGAATAACATAAATTACTTTTTTTTAGCCAAAAACATGTATTAGATACTTATAATACGAGTAAAGAAAGAAGTATATAAAAATAAAAATAATTAACTTTGTTTATTTGTCGGTCTTTTGATTTTTCATTGCTTGAATAAGCTTTATTGTCAACTACGTTTATAATCCTTTAATAAATATAATTATTTAATAGAAATATCTGATTTAAATTAGACTGCAAACGAATAGATGACCAGACAAGTAATTCACAATTTTTTGCAAATACTTAACATCTATTATAAACATGTCAAATACGGATACAAAACATTAGTAACATATGGTTTGTTCTTGAATACCAAAACGTGTTATAGAAAAATAAACTAGAAAAACAAGAAAGATGTCGCATCGAACTCGAGTGTTTGTGTGAAAAATCAAATTTGAGGCGAAGAAGAACCATCATGATATAATTGGCCGAAACGAATCATCATCATATATCATAAAACAAGGCAAACTCGAAGTCAACTTTGAAATCTCAGTTTTAGAGATGTCCGATTTATGATTACTCCAAATCTCTTTGGAAGACCATGCAAGGCATCATCATCTGACGTCAGAATTAATTATGGACCTCTGGTTTTCAATTTCTACAATCATTATATTTCCTCACTTCTTATTTATGAGACCTAGATCTTCATACCGGACAATATGTTATAGGTTTGAGTTACGATGTTATAATATCTTTGACTCTCAACTTATGCAAATTCTCTTTAAAAAAAAAAAGAAAGAAAAACTTATGCAAATTATATTTTTGCAGTTGCTCTTCATATAATCTTTACTCTTGGAAGTAATAATATTGCAACTCTGCGAAACATCATTAAGAAAATCTGAGTTTGTAGAAATCAAGATAACACTAAAAAAAACACAGAACAAAATAACAAAATACTTTCAAAAATTAGAGAAGACATGTTAATTGAACTCTGTGTGTGTGTGTTTTTTTTACAAATTTTACCATTAAGTGAATAATTGAGTGAACTAATGTTTTAGTTATTGCAAATTAAGGAAGCTAAGATTGATAGAAAAGAAGTAGAGAGTCATGAACGTAGAAAGGCAACTTCGGTTTGACCAAAAAAGAAAGGCAACTTCGAATAAATTTATTGATCATTGATTTATACAAATTCTATAAATGACATTCACAAAATGGTTTAGATTTCCGGTAAAAAAGTTTAAAAAAAAAATCGCCGTTGCCGGGGATCGAACCCGGGTCACCCGCGTGACAGGCGGGAATACTTACCACTATACTACAACGACCTTGTTGTTTAAATTACCAAATCATTGATTAAGATTACCTTAATTAATCAGTAGTTAAAACTATTCTTAGGGTGGTTATTGATTGTTGTGTAACTTGGCTGTTCAAAACTACAAATTAGTGGCCTGATAAGGCCTTATAAGGCCCAAATCATTAGTAACTCACTTATCTGATTTACCGAAAATGCCCTTACACATCACGAAGTCGCCTGATACTGAAATTTTCAATTTCTAAAATCAAATCCAATTGAGAAAACCCAACTTCAAATTCGAGATCTGAATTTAGGGATCTCAAATTGAAGAGGATGACGAAGGATTTCCCAATTCCACCGGTTGTTTTCCCTCCCAGTGGATCATCTCCGGCCACCGCAAATGTTCAGCAACGCCGAGTTCCCACAGCTCCTTACCAACCACCACGTTCTTCCCCCGGTTCATTTTCAATCCCTTTCATGCCATCTGAAATCGGATCCTCCGTCGCTACTTCAGTACCGGCCGGACCATTCAGCGGAACAATCTCTTCTTCATCATCTTTCGGTAGAGGAGTCTCTGCTTCGTTTGAAGATGAGGAGCCTTTACTCGACGAACTCGGTATCCATCCAGATCAAATCTGGAAGAAAACTAGATCGATTCTTAATCCCTTTCGAATCAATCAGACTGTTCACAAAGATTCAGATCTCTCTGGTCCGATCTTCTTGTACCTTGCGCTTTGCTTATTTCAGCTTCTCGCTGGGAAGATTCAGTTTGGTGTTATTCTTGGTTGGGTTGTTGTTTCCTCTATTTTCTTGTACATTGTCTTCAATATGCTTGCTGGTCGAAATGGGAATCTTAATCTTCATACTTGTACGAGCTTAGTTGGTTACTCTCTGCTTCCGGTTGTGATTTTGTCTGCGGTGTCGTTGTTTGTGCCACAAGGTGCTGGTCCGGTTCGGTTTGTGCTTGGGGCGGCGTTCGTGTTGTGGGCTACTAGAGCTTGTTCTAATCTGGTGGTGTCTCTTGCTGATGGAGGAGAAGAACACCGTGGTTTGATATCGTACGCCTGTTTCTTGATCTATACTCTGTTTTCGCTTCTCGTTATCTTTTGAATATCGATAGATTGTTCATCTTTCCTGTTCCATTTCCAAGTAGCTTAATTTGAAATCTTAAAGGTGTTTATGGTGAAATAGCTGAGACATTGTAAAGGTTTTTTGATAACTTTAGAGGAAGTTGTTGTTGATGTGGTTTAAGTAATTGGATTTGATGTTCTTTGATCTCTTACTATTGGAAATCTCTTAACTTTTATGCTATATTCATTCTTTTGTGGTCCTCTTTGACAGCTTCTTGACATGAATTGTTATTTGACTGTGAGCGTATTCAACTACTCATTTTAAGCATATATGTGTTGAACTAATGCAGTTTTGGAAGAGCTTAGAATGGTTCTGTTTTGTTAAAGGCCAGTTGTGTGTTGGGAAGAAAGTCACTAAGATGTTTTGATTAAAGCCACTTAGGTTGATTCAACTACGATGATATTATAAGTGACTAGAGAGAAGTGTGTGGTTTGGCTTGAGATTGTTCTATTAGTAGGGTAAACTTTTTGCCATCAGCGGAATTCCCTTGGCTACTGGAGAAAGATAAGAGTGTTGGCTTGAAAGTGTTGTTGAGGTTTCAGAGGAAGTAATAGAGGTGAACTTTGGACTGCTTATAACTACAGTTAGAACTCTCAGACTTCGATTGTTTCAAGCACAATTGATGGCATCGAAAATAAATGCAAACGCAAACAAACGTTCATCATTCATGGTTCAGTTATCTGGTCTACATGAGCACTACCTCTTCTTACTAGTCATGCAAATATGAAATATCCCTTCAACTGTGCAAATTTTTCGTATGATTGTCTAAAGACCCGAAACATTATATGGGCTTTAAGATAACATTTGGGCCCATTTACATTAAACATTCATTTTCTTCGTCACCTTCTTCAGCCAACGTTTTGTCTCTTTCACCAACTTAACAGATGAATTTAATTACTGAAACAGATTATAGGAGCAAAATCAAAATCATAATCCACTTTTATGTGATCGAGAAAAAGATTCCAAGCCCAGAAAACACCAAAACCCCATTTCTTTTAGTTCCCATTTTTTTTCTTTGTAGCTCGAAATCTCCTCTGCTTCTGCTGCTACTACTCTTAAGGTTCTCTTCCTCTTTTACATGTTAATGCAGTTCTGCTGCAATCTCTAAAATTATTCCCACTGGATTTGCTTTAGTGAATCATCGAAATGTCTTAGCTTTTTGTATTCGTGTACTGTTGTACAAAATTTTGGAACTGCCCATTTTCAATTTCGTTATTTTTGAAATAGTACGATGCGCCAATTGTAGTTTTCTGATTCATAGTGAAGCTCTTCGGAGATTTATTAATTGAAGCATTGTCTTAATTTTTCTTTGTAATCTCTCTTAATTTGATTGTTCATTACAAGTATCTTAGCTTCCAGTTTTGAACTTGATCCATATGCAACTGGGTTCCGATTATAATACTGTAGAATGTGAGTGCCACTTTTTGTTTATGTTCTTCTTGGTTTAGGACTTGACGTTGACCTCTTGTTCTTTCTCTTGAACAGGTCTTTGTTAGTAAAAACCTGGCAGTGAAATTGGAGTTTTTAAAAGATCTTTGGTTGGTTCTGTGGTTTCAGAATGGCAGCTTATGTTTCTCCCTGTTTAACTCCTCCGGATTCTCGGGTGCTCACTGTTCTAAGAAAGAGTGTGTTACCGGAAAATCATCTAGGCACCAGGGTTGGTTGCTTTAGAATGAGTGAAGGTACTAAAAGATATCGTGTTGTTACTGCTCATAAATCCGAGTCTTCGTCAATTAGAAACTCTCTGAATTCTCATAGTCCAAGCCATTTCCAAAGCCAAGATTCTTTCTTGAATCTCCACCCTGAGATATCAATGCTCAACCCAAGAAAAGAAACTTCTAGTGTTCCCATTACTGAGGATTTGGATGAGTTATCTACTCCAAACACTTACAATGAGGCAAGGATAAAAGTTATCGGGGTTGGAGGTGGTGGGTCAAACGCTGTGAATCGCATGATTGAGAGTGAGATGATTGGTGTGGAGTTTTGGATTGTAAATACCGATATTCAAGCAATGAGAATGTCTCCGGTTTTCCCAGACAATAGGTTACAGATTGGTAAGGAGTTGACTAGAGGTTTAGGTGCTGGAGGTAATCCAGAGATTGGAATGAATGCTGCTACAGAAAGCAAAGAAGCTATCCAAGAAGCGCTTTATGGTTCAGATATGGTCTTTGTCACAGTATGTCTATCACTATTACTTTCAGTTTTAGTTATTTCTATAGCAAAATATAGATTACAAATGAGAAGTTTTACGGGTCAGAATCGCTGTTTGCAATATTATGTCGGTTTTATTGAATTTTGGTGGGTTTTGGTTTCTCTTTTGTTTATCAATTTCTCTTTTATCTCCATCTGGCTAAAGTAGTGAGCTTTATGTCTTGGATCATAGAATACGTTCCGGTTTAAAGTACTACCAATCATGGGTTATAGTGTGAATTTGCTGCCTCCAAAGATTTAATGTTAGATTAGATCTTTAAGTTCACTGCAAGCTTTGCTAGCCAAATGTCTTGTTATTTTTCTAGGCTGGAATGGGTGGTGGAACCGGCACAGGCGGGGCTCCTATAATTGCAGGGGTTGCAAAAGCGATGGGTATATTGACGGTTGGTATTGTCACAACGCCTTTCTCATTTGAGGGACGGAGAAGAGCAGTCCAGGCTCAGGAAGGGATTGCAGCCCTCAGAGATAATGTTGACACTCTTATTGTTATTCCAAACGACAAGTTACTTGCAGCAGTCTCTCAGTCTACTCCAGTTACAGAAGCATTTAATCTGGCAGATGATATACTTCGTCAAGGAGTCCGCGGAATATCTGATATCATCACGGTATGGCTTTGTAATGTATTATTCCCTAAGCTATGACATCCATGTTTATATTAAATCTCTGACAGCTGTCTTTTTTTGCTTGCATTGCAGATTCCTGGATTGGTCAACGTGGATTTTGCTGATGTGAGGGCTATAATGGCAAATGCAGGTTCTTCGTTGATGGGAATAGGAACTGCAACAGGTAAGAGTAGAGTTTTCTTTGGCTTTGAATCTATTTTATTGATAGGCTCTCTCTGCTGCACGATTACGTAGTAACAAAGGGCAATTAGAAGGCAGGTTAAAGAACCCTGTGACTAATATAGGCGACGCTATATGCATATGTTGTTACCTAAAAAATGCTAGAGTATTCAATTTACTGAGAATTGGTACTACATATGTAGCTGAGTAGATTAATTTGACTATAGATTTGTTACTCTTTAACCGTGACAAGGAATCAGTCTAATAATGTTTGGTCTACTGCATTGTGATATATTCAGGAAAATCCTAAACTTGAACTATTTTGGTGCTATGTTTTGGTTGCATCATTATGCTTACTCTTTCATGCTATACTGTTATTTGAGCAGGAAAGACTCGAGCAAGAGATGCTGCATTAAACGCGATCCAATCACCTTTGTTAGATATTGGCATTGAGAGAGCCACTGGAATTGTTTGGAACATAACTGGTGGAAGTGACTTAACCCTGTTCGAGGTCTTTCTCCCTCTCTACTTTTTAAGTCCATTTCCTGTCCTAGTAATCACTTGGTTTCTTCCCTAGACAATTTAGAAAAGAACATCAGTCCCTTGTCATTTATAACATTCTGATGCTTTATTTTGACTCTCGGGGAAACGATTTGTAGGTAAATGCTGCTGCAGAAGTGATTTACGACCTTGTTGATCCGACAGCCAATCTTATATTTGGTGCTGTGGTGGATCCATCCTATAGTGGTCAAGTAAGTATTTTTCTTTCTTGGATCTTCTTCTAACATAATCTCCGAGATACTCAAATTGCTTAACTTTTTTGAAAAACTTTTTCGTCATGTCAGATAAGTATTACCCTAATAGCAACCGGTTTCAAACGCCAAGAAGAAGGAGAAGGGAGGCCACTTCAGGTATTCACTTGTCTCCCTCGACACATACAGCATAGCAGATTCTTGCATCAAATGTCAATAAGTCTTCGACTGTAATCTCTCTAAATGCTACATGAAAATACAGGCGACGCAAGCGGATGCATCAATGGGAGCCACAAGACGTCCTTCGTCATCATTCACCGAAGGCAGTTCCATAGAGATCCCAGAGTTCTTAAAGAAGAAAGGTCGCTCTCGCTATCCTCGCCTCTAGACCCACTTTGGATCACTCTACATGAGATTTGTTGAATGTAAGGAGAAGGAATGATTTGGTGTGGCTATGTAAATTACCTCTCTGGTGATTCTTTAATAGGTTGTTAGAAATGATTTTACTATAGTACTATAATAATGTTATTTGACTTGACAGATGATAAATCTCAGTATCTGCCACTCTGTTTCAAGATTTTGCCTTTGGATAAATGGATAGAAAAAATAAAATGGTTGTTTAAAACTTTAAATCAATCATATGGGTGCAAGAATTTACCATATGAATTTTTGAAAGAAACAAGGCATAATTAAAGCGATATTGTTGGTACATCGTGCAAATAAATTAGTCTCGTTGATACATCAATAAACAAAACATCGATGTTATTATATATGCCGTTGGCTTTGTTGAAAGTTCAACGTTGCTAGCAATCTTGAGGAGGAGGTGGTCTTGGAATGGTTTTACAAGGCTTTTCAGGAGTTTGTCTCGGCGTATCTCCACCTCCCTTAGGAGAATCTCCACATGGTGGGGAGGGTCTTACGCATATCTCAGGTTTACCTGTTTAATAACATGTTAACAAGTATAATTAGAGATTAAATAGACGAAAAAACAGAAATTAGGGTTTTAAATGGTTGTAATATAAGCCACGAACTGATCAGTTTGTAAAATAATACCGTTATGTTGCAACCATTCAAAACGTTACTTAAAAATAAGAAGAGACTGACTGACCTTGGTGGACACGAACATGAAACGATAGACAGAGAAATATATGAAGCAAACATAGAAGAAGAAAAGCTTGTGTTGTTGTTTTCTTCATTTTCATTGTTCTACGATCCCTATCATGTCTACCAGTAGTGTATATATAAAAATTGAAGCAGACAAAATCAAACGTTTAGTAAATAAATAAATTTGAAGTCAAACTTTGACGACTTCTTGTTTGCTGTGAAAACGCGGTTTTGTACATCAGCTATGTAACATCTTCTCAATAAACAAATAAACTATATATGGATGCAAGACTTTTGGAGGTTCCCATGTATATTATTGTTGGTTAAACCGTTCACCGTTTGTTGTGTACGATAGATCAATTAATTTGTATGAAAATACAATTTACAGTATGTCAATCATATATTTGGGTAAATAACATCTCCTGGTGCTCAAAGTTTAAAACCAAAAAAAATACACATTTCTAACAAAAAAATACATTTGAAACTAGAGTTTCTGTTTTTGGTGGCCTAAGGGAATCGACCCAGAGCAAGTCCAGTTATAGAGAGACCTAAGACATATAAAACATGATCTCGACAAATTCAAAGGATCAGACTATTCAACATTCGATATAAAAACATAATCTCAACCGTTTGAGCATGACATTATTAATTGGTGATGAAATGAATAGTCTACTTGGTGATGTTCGATTACAAACAAAGATAATTAATTTCTTTCAACATAGTACCGGTATGTATTTTATATTTTGCGCATCACATACGTCTACATACTTATTTCAGAAAATATCAAAGCGAGAGGACCATATAAGATCAAACTTCAAAGTGTGGTTAAATGTTAACGTCTGCACTAAATATATCCTTCTTCCTTCTTCCAAAACGAGTCACGACACACAATATTCCATCTCAATAAATATTAATTCTACATCTACATCACACAGTCATATATGGACACACATCTATATCATTTGATGGTACGTATATGGTTTCTGTAGAAAGTTGCATTAAATTTCTTATATTACTCTTTAGTTCTTGCTGGATCAAAGTGTAAGCGCACAGTCTCAAATTAATCACATAATTACGTGAACATATTCAAGGGGAGGCCATGAGATATGTAACGAAGGGAACCAAAAAATAGAAGTTGATCAAGAAAAAGTAAAGTTGTCGAAGAGACAAATGAATTCCGTATACCGACACGTGAGAAGGTACTTTTACATTGCAACCTCTATATCTCAATCATTATGTAAATATTCTTTTATTTGCAAAAGTATAATATTTCAATTTTGTAGCCATTTTGGTTTTGTTTTTTCTCGCCATTTTGTATTTGATTAAACGTTTGGAAACAGAAACAGAAATAGAAACATTATTTTTTTTAATAACTATTTTGCAGATTTCATTATCGGGATCAATTAATTCCGATGTATCCCCACCTAAACGTATTTCATTGGAATAAATCCTAAATCAACATCAGCCTCATGATCCTCCCAAAAAATCCAACCGCTTTGAATGCTTTCTTATAGTCTACACATAAATTAATAAAAATTCACGAATTACGTGCGACCCCAAAAATATTAACAGTTGAAAACCTGAATCTCTTTAATTACATATTTTCATTTTTAATGAAAAAAGATTCTTCAAAATCATTTCGACTTAAAGGCCCTATGTTTTTATGAGAAATCTCGATGATTATTCAAAATGCCTTCTTCTCTCTTAAATCTTTTCTTAAGGATCCTCTAATTGAGTTTGTTCAAAGAAAAATATCCTCTTATTGAGAGCTTTACCTAAAAAATCATTTAACAACATATTTGAAGGCTTGATCACTTGCAAAAACATAAAAGTGAATTAGAAAACACTTAATAGGAATATCTAATAAATAGTTTAATTTCTATATTGATTATTATTTATTTATTTAGGCTCCAAAAATTAAGGGCCAAAGCAATCCAATCTACAAAAAAAGACACGTAAAGTTGTCACTTACCATACAATAAAACAAAAGCAAAAAAAAGTTTTATTCACCAAACAATAACTTACGTCGACGTGTAACACAACCTCCCACCCGATTTTCTCATTTCCTTACATAACCCAACAAAAAAATACATATTATCAACACCGAATCTCAAACACAACCTCTCTTCATCTTTTTGTTTCCTCCAAGAATCTGAATCTGCTTTACTATTGTGTAATCATGATGAACATCGACGATACGACGTCTCCAATGGCCCACCCGATCGGTCCATCTCAGCCTCTTTCCGACCAAACCAAACAAGATCCGCCAAGTTTGCCCAGCGAAGCAGCTTCTTATGTTTCCGACAGGAAAGATCTAGCTTTGCCTGAAGAGAAACCTAAACAGAATCAAGAAGAAGAGAGAGTGGACACTGGGAGAGAGAGGTTAAAGAAGCACCGGAGAGAGATCGCCGGTAGGGTTTGGATACCTGAGATATGGGGACAAGAAGAGCTTCTTAAGGATTGGATCGACTGTTCAACGTTTGACACATGTCTAGTCCCTGCCGGAATATCGTCTGCACGTGCTGCTCTCGTAGAGGAAGCTAGGCGAGCTGCTTCAGCTTCTGGTGGGTTACATAATCGTTGCTTGATCTTACGCTGAATCTAATATAATAAGATACATACTTATAAATGTGGTTCTTGTTCCTCAATAATAATATAAGGCACTATTGTTACATTGTTGATATATTCTCACTCATTTTACTCATAACTTTATAAACATTGCAAGTTGCTTTGAGTGTGTTTAGTTGCCTATAGTTGTCCATATGGGAAAGTGTACAACGGATTTTGTGATTTTCTTTTTTGATATTCTTGATTCGATCCGTCCATATCATGTATATATACTCTGCAACTATCTGAATATCCAGGATTCGAGGGAATATATAGATATGTAGAAAGGTTTTTTAAAGAAAACACTTAAAAAGTTTGGAAAGATATCAAAACTTTGTTTAAAAAAAGAGAGAGAGAGAGAAAGAAAGACAGATATCAAAACTAAAAAATAGAAGTAAAATTCATATAGAAAGTAATATCTTTATATATCTAAATATTGTTTATGTATCTAAATAAACATACATATTTGTAAATCATAAATCTCAATGGAAGCTAATATCCCCCCTTCTCAAATTTCAGTATTTGCAATGTGCTCCACTTTAAATTTGAGAAGATGGTTTAGCTCTTTTTGGATTCTTGTTTGTGTTGAAAGACTTATTTTGAATCAGCATTTTTTTTTCTTTTTCAAAATATCAAATTGTGAATGTGACATTTGCCCGTTTTCCTAATGCTCTTTTTGCATGTGCCCAAACATGCCCAATCATGTTCTTAGCTTCTTAGAAGTCCAATTCAATATCCTTTTTATTTGGCATATCTCTTTGTGCCATGAGTTAGACATGTAACTATGTAACAACGCGATTAAAGAGATAAGAGCGGACTTATTGAGAAGACATGTAACTATGTAGCAACGAGATGAGTTAGACATGTTACTTAGGAATCAAGAAACGACGACCTTGATTAGTTTTCACTTTTCACACACATGTATGAGTTCTTATGTGGACCAAAATACCTAAATCAACGTATTCAATTTACATATATGAATTATGATTATAGATTATATTTGTAATTACTCAAATACCCAAAAAATACTTGCTCGTGAAGAAAAAATCCCCCAATACATAACATTGTTATGAATAATAGATGGATGTCCATTATACCGCCCATCTTCTAAAAGTCTCTAGAATTACTTGTATCCAAAATTTTACTTTGTCATCAAGTAAAACCATCCCTTTGTATTTCTATATAAAATACCATTTATTCATTAGAATAAGACATTAAATCTTCTATCTCTTTTCTGGCTGAAATTCATCTAAATTCAAAGGATCTCCTTGATACAATCAAAGAAAAAAATCAAATCAAAGCAAAGAAAAATCAAAATGATATTCCTTCGACATCACCTCCATGAGAATCTGTAATTTTATCTAAGGCTGACTATGATTGGACGATATGAGATTACAAGACTTCAAGTCTATAATTGATTATAACTCAGCCTTATTTAAAATACTTTCGAATTGGAACTATGTGGATCCGTGATTTTCTAAATTATTTGCTTCCGTGATTTTTTCTCTACATAAATCTAATTTACAAGTAATTTTAAACAAGATTGAGTTATAATCACTTACCCACTTGAACTCTTGTAATCTCAAATAATTCCAATCATAGCGAACTTTAGGTAAAATCACAATTTTCTGATGATCAAACATTTATTTGAAATCATTCCAAAAAATTTGTGGATCTTTCACACTCAAATAATCATTCTTGAAAAAATAAATAAAAAAATAATCATTCTTGAAAAACATCCTATTATACTTCTCGAAAATATACGAACATTAAAAAAAAATTCAAATACGCAATCCAAACTGCTTATTCGAATAATTATTCTGGGGCCGAATTTCCTTGGGGATTTGGGACAAACCAAAACTCAAAATTGATTTCTAGTAAATGGGCTACTGGGCCAAACTATTGAGGCCCAAATGGCCTTTCTAGATACGAACTAGTCAAAAGAGAATCATTTCTGATTTGTTGCGAAAAATCTCATCGACTCTTTCCTCGCTCTCGCCATTGTTGTAGATCGCTTTCTCTAACCCTAAAATACGTAGAGAGATCAGGTACCTGAAAACAAACGATCAATCATGGAGTACGCTGCTCGGAGAAATCAGAAAGGCGCTTTCGAAGGCTTTTACAAACTTATCATGCGCCGTAACTCCGTCTACGTCACTTTCATCATCGCCGGCGCATTCTTTGGCGAACGGGTGAGAGATCAAAGCCTTTTTGATTGTTTTATATCTGATTAGGGATCGTATTGTTCCGGATCTGGTTTTGTGTGTATGGTTTGATTGGAACGAAATTGGGGATTTTGGTGTTGACAAATGATAATCTTAGTGAAGAAATTTGGTTGGATAGATTAAGCGATTTACAATAGAGAGCTGGAGATTATAGTTTTTGATTAATTTTGAGAAGAATCTGGTGAAAAATTGTTTTTTTGGGGTCTTATATGTGAATATATGATTCTGGGGTTTACATGGCCAGATAATGGAGTTTCATTGCTCACAAAAGATCATATTTACATGAAATGTTAAAATCTGTTGTTGCAGGCTGTGGATTACGGTGTTCATAAGCTCTGGGAACGCAACAATGTTGGGGTATGTTTATATATTTGTGTGTTTGATTCTACCTCTCTTGTGCTGTTATTCTGTATTCTGATTTATGTTTTATGCTGAATTGCTGTCTAAATGTGTTGATGAAGAATGATTGTTACTCTGACGAATAAAAATTCTGCATCTGAAAATGGTTTCTGTTAACAATTTTTCCTTAATGGTTTAGTATTGATGTTAATGTTTGTCTGTCTTTGAACTAGAGAGTCTAGATGGTAATAATTGTTTCTTCATTCTCTGTGTTGCCCATCTTAAGATATGGAATGTGATCTGCTCACACTTCTTCAGTTTCGGTTTACTGTCCTAATCATCTTCTGCAATTCTGCTTGTTGTTAGTGTTATTAGTTTATAGTTGAATCATTGAATGCTTGTTTTAGAGTAAGAAAGTAGCTAATTTCGAAATATCTCTGCTTTGCCTTTTCTAGCTTCTACTAGAATGTGTATACTAGTTCTCTCCCCATGGTTTGTGCTAGGTAGTTCAATCATCAACATCATAAGTTTTCGATCTTGTGTGAGTATCTGTGAAAGTATGAAAGATAATGATTTATATATCTGTATTCACAATGATTTTCTTGTCATCACGCAGAAACGATATGAAGACATCTCTGTGTTGGGTCAAAGGCCAGTAGAAGAATGAGGATTTCTCCTTTTTGAATTCTCTCAGACCAAAAGCAAGAATTGGAAATTTCCATGTTGTTTTGCATTCCAAGTCTCTCTTTCTTTGTTGAATAAAATATAAAATCATTTGGGATGATTCATTACTTCACCTAAAGCTATCTGGTTCTCTGATTAATTGAATTTTTGCATTGTGGAATATGATAACATTATCATAACAACGTCCTTTGGCATTACAATTCTTTTTGTCTTTTTATTAAAAAGCAAATCCATTGAAATGCCCATTCGTGAATCTTCACTTTTGGGTTCTTGAAGCGTCGTTACTTTAATGTGCAGAGCCCATATTCTGAGGTCTAACTTGTATCCATCCTCAAGAAATTGTAATAATTGAGAAAGGTCAAATTCAAAAGGATTTTCGTTCCAATGTTGAATCCCAAAAAAGAGAGAAGATTAATGATTATATGAGTTCTTTGAAAAATAACCAGAGGAGTCACTGTCGATAGAGCATCATCGTTCTTGATTTTACAGAATAAGTGGGAATTAAACCGACAAAACCACATTGGTTCAGTTTCGTGCACAGAACCTAAAGACTTCCACTAAGCTGTGGGGCAATGGTTAGAGATTAGATTTTGACGATCTCTTTATCGTAAATCACATAACTTGCACCACTACTTTCGAAAGCCATGCATATAGATCAGAAGATCAACATCGTGCAAAGTGCAAACCAATCATATCATTCATATAGGTTTTACAAGAAAAAGTGGTCCTTATGGGCAAACCAAGTGGAATTATGATTATCCATCCATTGATCATTCGCATAATGCGTTTTGTTGTGTTGTGACAATAGATTTAGAGATCCGAATTGGTGCAAATGCGATGTTCTTGTGGTCGGAATGTGGACAAATGAATATTCCGAAAGCATTTTGTCTTGATACTGTTATGTTATGCCCTACCTGATCATCACATCACATGTTTCACTTTTTCTTTTACGTTTTCAGAGAAATTTCTTTTTCATTTCTCTAAACGAAATGCTCATTTAAATAGTCATTTATATGTTTAGAATAATGAGATGGGAATAGTGAAATTCTCTCGATAAGAAGTGGGGAGAAAGAAAAATGTGAGGTGGGTTTTTATGGGGCAGGCACCATCTGTGGATTATACGAAAAGGTATCACACACCAAAAAGATAAGACAATAATTTGTTTCGTTAAAGTTTTGACATTGATAATAAATAGTATTTCTAACACACAAGAGTGTTTGGTCAAGGTCTTTACAAAACAAAAGAAAAACATTTGAAAACTTAATTCGATTATCTTTGCATCGGATCCACGAAATAGAATCCTAAACGAATAATAACTTTGATGGGTAACGAAAATATATCATTTTTTGAAAAAGATTTAAACAAGAAAATATGTGGTTTATCACAATTTTGATGATCAATGTTAGAGGACCGTGTTAACTGCATGTACGAGACGTCGAGACATGTATAGGTTCCTACATTTCTCTATCTTTGATGGAAGTTTTCCAATAAAAGCACACAAAAGGTGGTCTCTACTCTACCTCAGGTTAGCTAATTATGTCGTTTCCTTCAAAAATGATATGCACGAACGCCTTGAATTCCTTGACATATGTAATTTTTGGTCAACAGTTTTACTACAAATTGACCTAGCTACGTTCATGATAACATTGAACCCAAAAATGTTGACCATATATTTCGAATATATATAAGAAATACAAAACATAATTACAATATTATATTGTTGACCATACAAAAAAGTAACTTATTTTAATAATGCGATTGTTAAAAAACGTACTAAACTAATAACATAGGCCTATGATGATCCCCCAACCTAAGTTATGCTTTTTCTATAGGGAATATCGTACCACAGAAAATCAATTGGATAACATAAGTTTTTAGCTATTTCTTTAACTTTTTTTTTCCTTTTAATTATTTAGCTTTTTTTCTGAAAAAAGAAGAAGAAGAAGAAGAGAGGGCCTATAAATAGCAGAGCCAGTCCCGCCGTGTCAGCCATGCAGTAATCTGATACAAAACACTTTTTTTATCTTCACAGGTTTGATTTGGAAAAACTCATTAATTAGTTTCCTAATAAAATTTATCTTCTTCTTAATCTTTTTTTCTTAATAGAAACCCTTTTTCTCCCTTTTTTTTTTACCAGAGATTTCCAACAAAACAGGAATTAAAACACAAGATGAAGATGGTGATGATGATTAAGCTCTGCTTCTTAGCCATAGCCCTCCTCTGCATTGCTCCTGCAAATGCTCGTAATGCTTACACTCTTTGTTTCTCTCTCCCTCCATTTATATATTCACATATATATATATATATATATATATATATTAATCAGAAAGTTTAATTAAGTTTGAAACGATCAAGTAAACGATGGTTATCGATTTTCACTATACGTTATTTAATTTTTCTATATTTACGGATGTACGTATATTGATTAGAAATTTATATCATTAAAAAATTTAGAGGATAAAAAAACATTGCTATTATATGTTAGTTTTTGGTATAGGTCTAAGCAGATGTGTGTTGTGCTTAAAATATACAAGACACCAATAATCGATCATATAACAGAGTGTTCATCCTAAATGTATTAATTATTTCCTTAAGTAGTGAATATAACTTTTAATACTATACGAATTGGTAACACTAATGAGCAGAGACACAAGGAGTAGTGTTTGGATATAAAGGAAAAAATGGACCAAACCAATGGGGACACTTAAACCCTCACTTCACCAAATGCGCGGTCGGTAAATTGCAATCTCCAATTGATATCCAAAGGAGGCAAATATTTTATAACCGCAGATTGGAATCGCTACACCGCGATTACTACTTCACAAACGCGACGCTGGTGAACCACGTCTGTAATGTTGCAATGTTCTTTGGGGAAGGAGCAGGAGATGTGATAATCGATAATAAGAACTATACCTTACTGCAAATGCATTGGCATACTCCTTCTGAACATCATCTCCATGGAGTCCAGTAAGTCCCCTCGGCCCAATTCTCTTCTCATGGATTGATTTATTTATAATAATTTATTATGGTTTATCATAAAATAAAATAAATTTCCATACATTCTTTGTTTGATTATCTACCAAATTAGCTAGGTTGGCTCAAATTATCGAGTTTGGATTTTCTGCCACCCCAATATTATTTTTATTTCTATAGAGTCACAAGCCCATTGCTAAGTGTTTTTTTTTTGGTGTTAGTATGGCCTGTTAAGCCCATGTGGCTTCTGTCCTCTTTTCGTTTTGAATATTACTATTAGGTTTTGGAGTTATGTATTATATCATTTGAATTCGATTTTTAAAGTAACAAAATGTTAATGATAATAATTAAACAAAAAAACGTAGATATGCAGCTGAGCTGCACATGGTACACCAAGCAAAAGATGGAAGCTTTGCTGTGGTGGCAAGTCTCTTCAAAATCGGCTCTGAAGAGCCTTTCCTCTCTCAGGTACTTTTGAGGTATTAATTTTGAGAAAACTGACTATATATTATTGGCTTAATTTGATAATTCATTGTTAATAATAATGTGAAAATATGATTAGATGAAGGATAAATTGGTGAAGCTAAAGGAAGAGAGAATCAAAGGGAACCAAACAGCACAAGTGGAAGTAGGAAAAATCGACACAAGACACATCGAACGTAAGACTCGAAAGTACTTCAGATACGTTGGTTCACTCACTACTCCTCCTTGCTCCGAGAACGTCTCTTGGACCATCCTTGGCAAGGTAATCTTTTTACACACAATATATTACATTGTTAGGAGAGGTTTAAAACAATTCATTTGGATTTTATTAGAAGTGAATTTTGGTATAAAAAAAATCTAGCGTACATAAATTTATAATCTAGAGTTAGTTTTTCAAAAGCAACTAAAGTTGATATCTAAACTAGGATCTCGCTTTTAATTTAGGCTTCTAAATATATCAAGACTGAGTATACATATAATTTAAATTCCACCGAAATTGATTCTAGCACATTAAAGATTCTGAGACCATAGTGTACGTAACGATATTGAAGTTTCAAACTTCGTCCAAAGTTATTAATTTTTCTGGACGATATTCAAACGTATTTGAGTGTCATTTGGGCTCCACAACCCCTGCTTTTAAGCTAAACCCTTTATGTCAAACTTGTTATTCACGTTTGAATATGAAATAGAGAAGTCAATATATACGATTGATAACACCTAGCTAGCTACTACTTTCATGTTTATTTGACATTTTTGTATGGAAACGGTCCAAATTAACGTGACATCGTGATTTATGATTGCCGTGTATAATAAATTAAATGCAGGTGAGGTCAATGTCAAAGGAACAAGTAGAACTACTCAGATCTCCATTGGATAAACCTTTCAAGAACAATTCAAGACCTTGTCAACCCCTAAACGGCCGGAGAGTTGAGATGTTCCACGACCGTGTCGATAAAAAAGAAACCGGCAACAAAAAGAAAAAACCCAATTAAAATAGTGTTACATTGTCTATTGGTTTGTTTAGAACCCTACTTAGCTTTGTAAAACTAATAATCTCTTATGGAGTAGTGTGTTGTCGTTACGACTTGATCTTTGTTTTCCAAAATTTATTATGCGGTGTTGTGAGTTATGTGCTACGTTTAAACAACGTGAATCAACTAATATCCTCCTATTTAGTATAATAAGAAGTGAAGAACAAATGAATTATGTTGCAAAGATTAATTTGGATCCACGTTATAATATTACCGATAACAAGGGTTACTTTAAAATCCTCTAACCAAAAGTGTTAAACATGATATAAGTGGTAAGCTGGGAAAGTGTATCTAGTAGTTTTTGTTATTGTCATTATTATATCATCAACTCATCAACCGGATTTAAATCCGTAAAATGCATGTTGTTAACAAAAAAGAAAAAAATCATAGATCGATTTAACTTAAAATCTACAAGGCATCAATCCTAATTAATCAACACACATATGATGAATTGACTTCAAGACGAATTGGAGATTATATAACTATGTTCTATTTGAATCAATTTAAAAAAAAAAAAACATTTAATATATCTCTGATTTATTATTATAAAAAGTATCTGGTATATATAGACATAAATAGATTCAATAAATATATAATATTTAGAAAGAATTTTACAATTATGAAAATAAGTACTACTATAATAATTGTTGGAACTTGAGAGATTGAAGGAGAGAAAAAATCTAAAGATGGATTTGTTTGTTTCTGTGTTGGTTAGAAATAATTGTTACGATGAAAAAAAGGAGAAGCAGTGTAAGACAAATTAATTGTCATTGTCTTTCCTGCCAACTCCAAACAAACAATAATTCTCGTAACTAAAATAAATACAAAAAGTAAGACGTATGGTAGTATATATTATCAAAATTGATGGACCTCTCTTTTTGCAGCAAAGAAAAAATATCTCCCTACACGCCTTATTGCCAAGTCAAAAACCCTTTAGAAGAGAACTATTCTTTACCTAATACTCAATATATATTGATTTTAGTCTTCCAAAACATGTATTAGTTGTTAAGTTGTCAATGAGGTAAGTTATAAATACGATTAACAAGAAGAAATTTTGGAGGGAAATAGATACAAATGATAAACCAAAAAAAAAAAAAAAAATCATTGCATATTAATGATTCTTAACACATGACAAGCTTATCCAGGATATGAACAAAAACTTACAAGTCTGAATTCTCATTCATTTGTTTTTTTTAATAAAAATTCTCATAATGTTCTTACGAAGGCCCCATTATGGAGGTCCCAATACTAAAAGAGACTTCATAACAAAATGCCAATTCGAAGGACTGACTAGTTGTTCCCATTTGTTTATGTTATAATAAAACCAAAGATGGCTATGAATGACCTGTCTTTTCTTGAAAATGAAATAACTACTCAATATACAAATGAAATTACATATAATATGACAAATGACACTAGCTAATAGCGATCACTTTTACTTAACTCGCCACTTCATCAAGACCTGAACAAGTCAAACAAAGAATTTAAAGTGTTCATGGCTCCAACTATTCACTTTCATTGTTTTAGATTTTTAGTTTTTGAGAATTCTAGCACTAATGAAACTGTCTTTATCAAGACTTAAATAGTGACCAAAGAGGTGGTGGCACAATGGTAAAAATGGTTGGTTCTTTTATTAGCAATATCAACAATATGGAACATTGGCTCATCTGTCTAACACATTATTAACTGATCATCACAAGTATCTTTTACATTCTACTATTCCTCTCTAAGCAACAAAACACATATACACAAATAAATAACAATACCTATGTACAACCCAAAACAAGGAAGATAATAAAAAGGACAAAAAGCAAAACTAATTCAAAAATCAAAAGTCTTAAAGAAGAAAAAACGCACCAAAAAGATAATAATAAAACGGTGAAAGTGGTTGAGACGTTAGAAATCAAATCCAAAAAGCGTCCGCGTTTTCTATCTGTGCCGTGTTCCTAACTCCGTTAAACCACTCGCCACGTCATCACAACGACTTTTCTAAATACACACGCTTCTGGGCCCCATAAAGCCAACCAACCAATCACGATCCTTGTTTTCCCTCGGGACTGGACCCCACCACTCACAGAAAACGCCGCACGTCACGCCACGTCAAACGTCAACCAACAAATCCGGTCTTCTCCCCGAAGTAAACCGAGTCATCCCACCTAAACCAGGCAATACCGGTTCACCACCGTCAATTGATGATCTTCTCGAACCGGTACTATTCCTCGGCGGCGAGGAATTCCCGACGTATTCCGGCGGAAGCCTTCCTCTAATATCCGTCGATCTTCTCACAGACACTCTCGGCGGAGAGACTACGACGTCCCTCCGCGGCGCGTGAACTCCACTCGCCGATAAGTCTTTGCAACCGCCTCCGGTTCTGAAAATAGCTCTGAAGCTAGCGAAAAAACCAGGTTTCTTAACCCGAACCGGTTTATCCTTAAACGAATCGGTTCGACCGGATTTTTGTCTCTGCATTCGTCGGCTACGATCACGTTTAGATCTAACTCTTCCGATACAAGAAACCTTCGGAGAACACGGCTCCGATAACGAAGGATCCGATTTCAATCTCGACCCGATCCGTTTCGGGATCATCAGAGTCCTCGCAATTCTGCAATTTCTTCTTTTCTTTGCTTCGTTGAAACACGTCTTCTGCGGTTTCGGTAATCTGATGATCGACGCTTTTGATTTGAGTGAGATTCGTTGAGAGCTCAAATTAGGGTTTGAATTGGGATTCGAATTCGAATTTGGAGCAGATGATTTTCCTTTTTGTGATTCTTTGCGTTCGAAGAAGGCGTTGTCGTTTAGCCATTCGAGCTGAGCTTCTTTTGATAAGGAATAAGATTCCGGTGGAAAATCGACGGAGGAGATGGAAACGGGTCGGATCTTCGGGTCATGAGTTGAGTCTTCGTTATCGTCGGCGAGAGTCTCGCATGAGATTTTCCCGTCAGAGCCACCGGCACATACTGAAGAAACGACTTGAGGCATTTAATCAAAGCTAAAGAACGATAGAGAGAGAGAAGTTTTGATCCGAGTGTGAGGTAGTTTAAGGGGAAGAGAAGATAAATAAACGAAATCGAGTATTTATATTTGCTGATTTATCTGATTTTGTTTAATTAATTTATATTTTAGTTGACTTTTGTTCTTAACTAAAAAAATATTAATTACTACAAGTAGAATTTATAAGCTAAATTAAATTTATATGATTTAATTAATTTTACAAGGTGCATGACAAGAATTTGAAGCCTTAACTCTATTGAAGGCGTTGAGCATCTCAAGCTTCTCTTTGGACTCAATGGGATTTGTGGAGAAAGTTGCCTTCTTCAATCGTCTTGCGTTCTTTAGAATGTATGTAGCTACTTCGTTCTCTTCTTCTCTTTCCCAATCGTATCTTATCCACACAAATGTCTCGAGGTGAGACAACAAACATTCAGGAACATACTTTGGTTCGTTCCATCTCCAGCTAACCACATCATCTTTACTAACATCTTGATAATGCTGATGAGACCAACACAAGGCAAAATGCGGAATGCAATGTGTATAAGTACTATTAGATCTTCACAAATTTAAACCCTAAAGAGAGACCATCAAAAGTAGCTAGGTGACTAATTAATAATATGATATATCTTACATCAATGAGCTTGAGGACTTGTAGTTTAGGAGAGCTATCGAGCATGATCGTAAGTAGATTCCACCACTCCGCTTCACGTGTATGCATCTCAAGATATACCAGCCGATAAAAGATAGCTCCGGTATGGCACTTAATCTATATGCATAAACATCATATTATTAAAACTATACATAAACCACAAATGAGTTAAATTGCAAGTATAGTTACCTCCAAAGGTGATAAGTCCAAGGAAAGACGTTTGGCTGACTTGAGAGATCCCAAAATCTTCTCATTAAGGATATAAGAAACGTTACTAATATTTGCCTCAACTAACATTGGCGCATTCTCAATCAAACAACATCCGCAGTTATAAATCCCTCTAATTTTCAAGTATTCCAAAGAAGGAGCGTTTATCACATAGCCTCCATCCGCAAGTCCACCAATTTTACCGTCAATCGATAGTCTCTTTAAATATGGCGCTGCGATAACCAAAGTCAGCACAACCTTACGGTTACGGCTACCTCGAGCTCGATGTATGGCCAAATCTTCAAGATTAGGACAGCCAGCTATAAGATTACGAATAGATTCATTGTCTTTGAAACCCACAGCATGAAGGTGCAGAGTTCTGAGGGACTTCATACAAACTGGAGAAGGAACATCTACAATAATCGAATACTTGAGTTTCAAGGTCTCAAGTGTATCACAGAAAAACACACTACTTGGAAATCTGACAGATTTTTTTATTGAAAGACCGAGCACCAACTCACGGACATGGCGTACAACGGCAATTCCAAGCCATACTCCAACATTGATACCACATCTATTTTCAGTCTTATCAGTAACTTTGATATGCAAACTCTCCAAAACCGGAGCTTTGTGTGAAAGCAAAAACTTGCCAACATTCTCTGAAAATTTCGCTAGATTGTCAGATTCGAACTTGAGTTTCTGCACCATCTTCCAAAGAGACCGCCATCGTTTAGACAAAACACTTGTGGTTATAACAGTTTTTGTTGGAAGTAGTGACAATATCTTTAGAAGCAACTCTTCAGGCAACTCACTGATCCTGTCTTTACCCATAATAACTCGAATTCTCAAACTTTCCACAAACAAAACCAAAAGTAGACAAGATTAGAGTTAGGGTTTAGAGCTTGCAGTTAAGAAACCATGATATAGAACGATTTTTAACCAAACAGAGAAACATACCATCGTTTCATCGTCGTTGATAGTGAAGAGACAACCAATTTAGTAGTTTGGCAAAGCCTCTTTCAGATTTATGCCTTCCCAGTGGTGCAATCGAATCAAAAACGCTCCAAACGCAAACGCAGTCTAGCAATATTCAAGAGACCCAATTCCCACTCGAGTCTGGCTTAAGCTAGATATTGAGGATTACATTTTGTGATTGATTTGTTATCAGATCGGCGACTCGAGAGAACAACCCCAAACATTTTGCCCAATGCATACATCAATTTGAAGAAAAATATATTATTAGTTATAGCCTTATATATAGGGGTTGCTCACATCAGCAGTTTTTTTTTTCTTTTTTTTTTAAAGCCTAGGAAAAGAAATGTTCATTTCCTATTTTTTGTGATTTTTTCCATTTTGTCCAATTAACATATTCAGCAATATTAAAAATATATATTCGTTCATATATTATTGTTTTCCAATTTCCGTAAGTACATTATACTGTCTATAATTATTAGTTGCATTTACAGAAAAAGAAAATTGTTATTCTTCTGATCCAACAAAACATAAATCACAAAATTTTGATATCAATGCCAAATAATAAGAAGAATAGAAGTATAATTCTTAAACGTACTCTCCAAGTATCTCAATCTAAACATTGCTAAAAGGCCAAACTGGAATCTTCTCATGTCACAATGAGACAAGAATATGAAAAATAACATAAGAGGATGAAACTCGAAGGATCCAGGACTTTGGACAGTTAATATTTACTACTTTACTAGACTTAAGGAAGTATCCTCCAAGCAAGTCTAAGGTTCTTCTCTCCTTACTTCTCTGCACATCGAACCTCGTCTCTTCGTTCTCTCCATATCAACAATATCAGGAGGTATAACGGGTAGAAATATCAAATATGGAACTGGAGAACTAAGAACACACATGACAACATCATTAAAAGGCCCAGAGATTCACTGATCATCAAACAATGGAATTGAAAAACTTTGGAAAGTTCAAATGGTGGTCATAAAGTAAGTTGGAGAATCCCAGACACTATCAATCAATTATATCAGGTTTAAGATCAACATTTTTTAATCTTTCGCCAAATCAGTGTTTGTGATAAGCATTCTGGATAAATACTGGTATTACTTTCTACATGAACATATTCAGAGGAAGTTACCTTATTGCCCCGCCGAAACAGAAAGAGAGAGCGAGCATCAAGTCGCCAAGGTAATCACAGTCCCTTGTAATTCCCTTGTGTAAGTTATTAAAATTGTATCATTGCGGAATCACTTCAGCATTCCCAAAGATGATGAACAATCAAAGATAGAGGCGGTGTAACCAAGCAAGAAACTAGTGAAGGAGAAACAGATCATACTGGTATTACTTTCCCACCAACGACCACTGGAGGGGTAAGTATATGTGTTTTTGGGTTCTTCTCAAAGGATATGGTTTTGTTTGTTAGCCTCTCGAAAAACCCATCACTCAAAACTTACCCGATCAAGAACACAAGGCAATTGGCAACAATAGCAGGAACTGTTAGCCCTAGTTTGTTGTGCAAAAGCCACCAGCAATGTACCAGAAAGAAGACAATTCAATCACAGAGTGATCAAGCATTCAATACCTATATTGTTTCCAAGTATGACTCTTACTTGCCAAGAAGATACTGTCAATAAGAAATATTGAAGTATGTCCTGTTTGTGTTCAAGCTCACCGTTATATGCCTGAATGCTAAAGTGAAAGGGATCCACAAGAGATCTCCAGTCACCAGCATGAAGCACAATCTCTCTGCAATTATGTCCCACCTACAAAATGGAAAATCAATCAACTGACAGTATTTAGAAAAATCAAAGTAAGTGCGATAGTGGAAATGGTCATATTTTGGAAAGATGAATATGTTTCATCACGACACCATGAACTTACTTAGAGGTCATGTATTATTCATGAACAAAGTACTCCAATTCCAATGTATATAACTGCAATTATAAACTATTGTAAGACTAACAAAACACGGATGATCAGAATTTCAAGAAGCGGGTATTGTAAGCAAAACAAAATATATATATATATACCGCAGAGAAAATCTGGTATGGAATCATTGACTGACTCAGGAACCATCCTGCACAAGTCTTGCCAGAATAGAGATATTGATAAGCAGCCATCTCATCATCCCGGCTAAACAAGGAATAATTCCTATCATCATAAACATGCATAACTGTAGATAGCATTATAAAAACCCGCTACTCATAAATGGAGGGTTCAGCTGTATTCCAAACCACCTATCACATGAAATAAACAAGATCAGAATGAAGAAAATCAAAGCATCTGTTCTGAAGAAGCAAGTGAAAGCCAAACCAGAGCTTTTGGTTTCACAATGGAGTTCAAAAGTTAAGTCACTGCTAGTGATTAAAGAGCAATCGACATTCTTTCTAGGAGAAATTACTTGAAACTCTTCGTGGTTCCATAGTCTTAGGCAACCCCAAAAAGCGTAAATAACTCCACTAAGTTTTTTTATATCATTCTACTGAAGAACAACAAGAAAGGTTTGGATCATATCAGTCTAAGCCTGCTTATTCTTCCTTACACTACCCTTGCCCAGACCACCAAAGAAATACATCATCCCAGACCCAATTGATATATCTACATAAATGGAAATTCAGGTCCTACCTTCTTGATGACCCCCAAATCATCATTTGCAATCTGGACATTAACCCAAAGGAAACGACAAAGTAAAGAGACAAAGCTTTGAAATATACAAAAATGGGCAAAACACTCGAGCAAACTTTATCTTTGACGCGAGAGGTGATCACGGTACACAATCAAGAACAGATGTTTAAACAAAATCCTAATTACCATTGCAATTTTCAGCCTTGTACATCGTGGGAATTCCTTCGAGCAATCCAAGGATCATTTTGCTCTTTCTCAAGACATCTCTTATCGGTAAATCTCTCCCTGATGGAACATTAAACAACACATTTGATGAGTCCCTAACAAAAATGCTCTCAAATCAAGTCCTTACTGAGAATGTTGGTCAGTCTCACCTCCACATTCTGACCTCATAAGCTTCCACTACTTCACCATCCAGTGTCTGTACACTGCAGTGATATAAATACAAATGTATTATTCCAGTACCAGTCATGTACAAGATATCCTGAGACATGAATCAGAAAATGGTAACTACACTTACAAGAATGCCGATTTTTGCACAGATTCCAAAAAAAAGCTAGCAACAAAATCCCAGGAATAATATAAAGACTTAAATCAAATCAAATTAACCATTGCATCGGTACGAAATTAGGAACCATCTGATAAAAGGACGCCGTGAATAACTTTTCCAGGGGAGAATTTCTCCGGAAACACCAGAGCAGCAAATAAAACCTAATTGTCAGAACCCAGGATTCAAATTTGACAAAATCGGAAACCAAAAATCACAACAAGAACAATTGCGAGATGGATTGAACCAAAGCTAAAGATTAGATTAGTAGAAGAACACCGAGAGATCCATATTTAATTTCCGTTTCACAATAATTAAAACAAATAAAAATAAATTCAAAATGCAACAGAAAATAAATTAAGCGTGGGAGGAAGAAGAATTTAACAAACAATCTTAACCGCCCATCGCGCCACGTGGTACAATCTGGAAGGTCGGCGAAGAGAAAACTCCATTTTTATTTCTTTCCCGGCTCTTTTCTTTTCGCTAACAGAGTTCGTTCTCTTCCCCAACTCGACTTTTTTTCTCTTCCATTTCTCTGAAAAATCTCTCTCGAAGCTTCGGAGGAAAAATGCTTGGAGTTTTTTCGAAACAGTTGGCGCCATTCCCAGAGCTTGACAAGTCGCTGAATCTGCACACGTCTGAGTCCGTTTCCGCCATGGAAAATTGTCTGGCTAAATACTACACTAACGAGTACGCGAATTCGTTTATGGTTGATATTCAGCCATGGTGTATGCTTGCAATTACAGTGGCTCAGACAAATTCTATCATCGCGAAGTAAGATACAACCTCTATCGATCTTAAGCTTATTGAGAGTTTTTGGTAAGATTTCATTGGATTGTCTTGTTCGTGAGATCGCCATTTATGTATGTTAGGGTTCTTTAGAGGTTATATATTTGCAGATGTTAGATTATCTTTAGGTTTTTACTTCGCAGATGTTAGATTCGGGTCCTGAGATTACAATTTGTCAATGATTTCTGGTTTGATTCGTATGTCGTTAGAGATCGCTATGATTTAGGGCTATGGAACTTTAGGTTTCGGTAATTTCTGTTGAGATCGCTTAGTTTAGTAAGTTCTTAAGAGGGAGACGATATCTTAAGTTGTTCACTTAGTATGTTAAGATTGTTGTTGTTTTACTTTTGCAGTCGTTTCCAAGCAAAAGACGATATGTTCTGTATATTGAGCGGTAGCATTGAGAATATAGACTATTTGGCTTCAAAATTCCACTTCAATAAGGACATTGATCAGCCTACCATGTTCATCGAGGCTTATAAATCACAAAGGCGCATTAACGATGGCCCAGAAACAAAGCTTCAGAAGGACCAACGAGAATTTTACTGGTTGAACTTAGTAAGAGCTGCCAAGGGGAAGTTTACTATCATTCTCTTCGATAACCTGAAGAAGACGGTCTTTGCTGCTACAGTAAGACATTAACACACTTCATTTCCATACTTATGATTTGATTTGAAGCTTATATGATTTGAATGCTTTTTGTTTTACAGGATCGTGATGCACATCTTCCTTTCTATTGGGGCATTGATGTGCAAGGCGACTTGATTCTTACCACGAATTCTGATATGGCTCAGGTGGGGTGTCAAAGAGCTTACGGTAGTTTCCCAAGAGGTTGCTACATATCCACAGCAGATGGACTGAAGACTTTCGACGATCAAAACACGGAGCTAGAGGTAGAAGAAGATGTTGATAGTGTGGGGGTTTCTTACCTGAAGATTGTTATGGTTGTGGGGAGTCCCTCCAGCGGGAGTGGACAGGGCTCCACGGAGTCGGTGAACTCATCTCTTCGTTCTCTTACTCATTGATTCGTGTTTTCATCTCTTAGACTCTTACTACTCTTGCTATTCATCTCTTATAGCTATTCATTGTTACTTTGTCTAGTACTTGTCTTTCATCTCTTCCTACTCTTACTCATTGATTCGTGTTTTCTTAGTACTCTTATTGATGAGTGTTTTCTTTCTACTCTTACTCTTTATTTGTGTTCGTTAGTATAACCAGTTAAGTACAGAGTAGTTTCCTAGACGACCAAAGATTCTCTTGGGTCCTACTAATCCCCAAATCACTGATGCATGCGTTAAAGGAAACTCTGTTACTTGGACATGTCCATGGACTGTTTGCAGGTAGTCTTTCTGACAGATGTTTCCTAAGCAAGTACCATGTCACTGGTATGTTCACTGCTCCTATCCTATGAACTAGACTAAGAACATCGATCTTGGCAGTATCATCATGTAATGGCCTAGCTTGAAGTCGTTAAGGAATGAAATTGCTTGTGACATGCTTAATGTAACCGAAAGTTTTGAAGCAGACGTTAGCGATTGGTCTCCCCCGTAACAACACACCCATGAGAAATTATGTGATACTGTTTAGACCTGGAGTCTGTCACAACAGTTTAAAAGTGAGAAATTAGAAAAAACAAATCCAAAACATGTTTTCAGGATTAAATAGTGGAAGTTAAACCACCTGATTAGCTATAGATGTGATAAAGCTGACTATAACAGTGAAGGTAACGGCCATGAATGATGCTAGAAGAAGTCCCCACCAAGGCATTTAGATCTGTTCTTTCATGAAAATGCAGGGAACAAGATATAGTACCAATGAGAGACCGCAAAAACCACCAACTTGGTATGTCCATTTCGTAAACTTGCATGTTTCCAAATTCCCCTAAAGTAAAAGCTTGAACTTGTTACTCATCCAAAACAAGTATAAATCATATATATAATCATCCGTTTTTCCGCCATGAAAGATGGTTTTGTAGCTAAAAATTTTGTTCCTCAAAGATTGGTCCTTTTCATTCGTCTTGAAGCCGACTCACCCTTTTGTGTTGTTTTCTTTTATTGGCCATTTGGTAGCATGATAATCTTTTACATCTCCTGCTTGAATCATAGATTGATCTCCTTGGCGATGAAACGAAATCTCTCTTGGCTTGAGAAAATTTATATTGCTCTTGATCATTACTCTCCAATACTAAAGCATTACCCTGGCGTAAGCAAAATCTCTCCTTTCTCTCCACAAGTTCTCATATACAACATTGTATAGTATATACTTTCATCAAACTTTTTGACCTTTCGTATCTTGCAGATTATCGAGATCTTAAAGCTTGTCTGGAAAAAACTAAGAGGAGAACCAAAGAGACTATCAGTCTACTGACCAAGTCTTATATGATCAAACTATCTATTTCACACAAGTTATATTGTATTTCTGTTGTACATTTCCACATCCTCTGTCATTGTTTGTCTCTCTTCTTGGTATGTTTAGTAACTAAATAAATCATCAACAGCAAATATTGGAAACTGACAAGGAGATTCTTACGTCCTATTGTACAAATGACCACAGTTAGGGAAAAAGAGATACTGGTTTAATTTGTTATATGTCCAACCCTACAAATCAATCAAATATTGCAATTGTAAAATCACTTTGCCATTCATCTCTTTCACCACTTACTCATTGATTCATGTTTTAAATCTCTCCCTTGAAATCACAAAATCCACCATACCTTGAAATCCGGGACCAGTATAAATCCCTTCTAAAGCAATTAAAGTAACAATCTATATTAACAAAGTAAAAAAGCTCTATCTTACTAGAAAAGTTAAATACATATAAGATTATTCGAACACTAGGTGGCATGAATATGAAGCCTTGACCACACCATTCATCTCGTTGAGCATTTTAAGCTTCTTTTTGGATTCAATGGGTCTTGTAGAGAAAGTTGCCTTGTTCAAACGTCTTGCGTTCCTTAGAATGTATTTAGCCACTACTTTCTCTTCTTCTCTTCTCCAATCATATCTTGTCCACACAAATGTCTCAAGGTGTGACAATAAACATTCAGGAACACGCTTTGGCTCCTTCCATTTCCCGCCAACCACACCATCTTTACTAGAATCCTGATGTTGCTGATGAGACAAACACGCGGCAAAGAGGAATTAATGTATATTATTACTATTAAGACTTTCAAACTAGCTAGCCGACTAATAATGCAATTACTTACATCAATGAGCTTGAGAACTTGTAGTTTAGGAGAGCTATCGAGCATGATCGTAAGTAGATTCCACCACTTGGCTTTATGTGTATACATCTCTAGACATACCAGCTGATAGAAAATAGCTCCGGCAGGACACTTAATCTATATGCATAAAGATCATATTATTAAAACTATACATTAACCACAAATGAGTTAAATTGCAAGCATAGTTTACCTCCAAAGGTGACAAGTCCAAGGAAAGACGCTTGGCTGACTTGAGAGATCCCAAAATCTTCTCATTGACTATATTAGAAACGTTTCTAATATTTGCCTCAACTAGCTCTGGCGCATCCTCAATCGGACAAAGCTCATAACCTGTTAACCTTTCAATTTGCAAGTATTTCAAAGATGGAGCGTTTATCTCATAGCCCCCATTCCGTCCACCAGTGAAATCTTTAATGGATAGTCTCTTCAAAGATGGCACCACAATAACAAAATTCATTACATTATTAGGGTAACCTCGATGCACAAGCAAATCTTCAAGGTTAGGGCAGCCAGATAAAAGGTTACAAATGGATTCATCGTCTTTGTACGTCACATATTCAAGGTGAAGCGTTCTAAGAGACTTCATAGAAACGGGAGAAGGAACATCTATCTCAATAGGAGGATTCTTGAGTTTCAAGGTCTCAAGTGTATCACAGTAAAACAAGCTACTCGGAAATGTGACTGGCATGGAAAAGGGAATCCAAACTTGGAGTACGAATTCACGTACTTTGCGTGCAAATGCAATTCCAGCCCATAGTCCAACATCTATATCATCACATAAACCTGTGAGATGCAAACTCTCTAAAACTGGAGCTTTATGTAAAAGCAAAGACCTGCCTACATTCTCTGCAGTTCTCCGATCCTGAGAATCGAACTCGAGTTTCGGCACCAACTTCCAAAGAGACGGCCATCGTTTAGACAAAACACTCGTGGATATGACAGTTTTTGTTGGAAGAAAAGACAGTATCTTTAGAATCAACTCTTCAGGCAACTCACTGATCCTGTCTTTACCCATAATAACTCTAATTCTCAAACTTTTCACAAACAAAACCAAAAGTAGACAAGATTAAGAGTTAGGGTTTAGAGCTTGCAGTTAAGAAACCATGATATAGAACGATTTTTAACCAAACAGAGAAACATACCATCGTTTCATCGTCGTTGATAGTGAAGAGACAAGCAATTTAGTAGTTTGGCAAAGCCTCTTTCAGATTTATGCCTTCCCAGTGGTGCAATCGAATCAAAAACACTCCAAACGCAAACGTAGTCTAGCAATATTCAAGAGACCCAATTCCCACTCGAGTCTGGCTTAAGCTAGATATTGAGGATTACATTTTGTGATTGATTTGTTATCAGATCGGCGACTCGAGAGAACAACCCCAAACATTTTGCCCAATGCATACATCAATTTGAAGAAAAAGATATTACTAGTTATAGCCTTATAGGGGTTGCTCACATCAGCAGTTTTTTTTTTTTTTTTTTAAGCCTCTAGGAAAACAAATGTTCATTTCCTGTTTTTGTGATTTTTTTCCATTTTGTCCAATTAACATATTCAGCAATATTAAAAATATATTCGTTCATATATTATTATTTTCCAATTTCCGTAAGTATACTGTCTATAATTATTAGTTACATTTACATAAAAAGAAAATTGTTATTCTTCTGATCCAACAAAACTTAAATCACAAAATTTTGAAATCGATGCCAAATAATAAGAAGAATAGAAGTAGAATTCTTAAACGTACTCTCCAAGTATCTCAATCTAAACATTGCTAAAAGGCCAAACTGGAATCTTCTCATGTCACATTGAGACAAGAATATGAAACATAACATAAGAGGATGAAAAATAACTATTTGTAAATTTTAATTTATGTATATCGTGTGTATATGTGAATTCTATAATCGCTATTATTCATTGTCAAAAAGAATTATTTTCTCTTCGAAATATTAAGTGTTTAAGTCTAAACTATAAAATTTAATTTGATCACATTTTTTTAGCTCATTAATTTTTTAATAAGCTTTCACAATTGAAACAAAATATTCTATAAATTAATAAACTATCATGGTCCCAACACTATTAATTTATAAAGATTTTACTGTATAACAAAATATACATAGTCGGGTATGTAAGTTGTTAACAAAAAATAGTGATATGTAAATTTTGTAACATATACTTAAGTTGAACTACATGTATATAACATAATCAAATAGAAAAACATGTTTGAGAATTCATCATTTAAATTAAATGTTTCTAACCCAAAAAATTGGTGGAAACAACATATTTAACGTATATTACGTTTTATTTGATAAAACGATGTTAAGGTTGCATCACAAGATTAACATCTCAAAATAACAAAAAACGGTAAGCAATAGTGGTTTGAAATAAATAAAAGCGGTAGGCTAAAAAGTGGTCTGAAATCACAATGATACTATTATAGATGAAGATGAAGTCACCTTATTTAAGTATTGGATATGTAAGTGTTTTGAAAAACCAAAAAAAGATTAATAATAATATTTCAAAGATATTTTTAAGTGCATTTAAACATTAGATTATGCAATTTTAAAATAAAGTTCTTAAAATGTACATTTTTAAAATGAGATACAATATAGATTTTTTTTTGTCAACGAGATACAATATAGATATTAGTCAAATTTTCAACATTTAGAGTTATTTTCAACTGTTATGATTATAAATATTTAACCTCTATAAAAACATAATATAGTACCAAACTCACGCAACGCATGAGTCATTTTTTAGTTAATATAGAGAAAGAAATTAACAAAATCATAACACACGTTGACGGTCGAAATCGATTACTATTTCTTTCCCGGTCCTTTTTTTTTCTTTTCACTCAAGATTTCGTAACAGATTTTTCTCTCTCAGATATTGCCGGAGAAGAAGAAGCAATGCTTGCTGTTTTTGAGAAGTCGGTGGCCGGCGTGAAGCTTTATGGGATGCCGTTTCTGGCTGGGGAACGTTCAGAGAATCTTCCCACAGATGATTCCATAGACGCCATCAAAGAAATTGCAAAGTTGTTAGGATCACTAATTGGGCCCTCATGGGCTTCGTATTTGCCTTAGTGTTTAAGCCCATTTCTCATTTTATTGTCTTTGTATTTAAGTTTCTCTTCATCGTTGTACAATGCCATCAAATATACAATGCCTTTTTCTCAACACCAAAATAATTCAAATTTACTACCCAAACTATTAAATTTGAGCGTAACACTACATTGACTTAAACAAAATTAGTCAACCGTTTGTTTTCGCTACATCGTA